TGTATATACATATATATATATATATATATATATATATATATATATATATATATATATATATATATATATATATATATATATATATATATATATATATATATATATATATATATATATATATATATATATATATATATATATATATATATATATATATATATATATATATATATATATATATATATATATATATATATATATATATATATATATATATATATATATATATATATATATATATATATATATATATATATATATATATATATATATATATATATATATATATATATATATATATATATATATATATATATATATATATATATATATATATATATATATATATATATATATATATATATATATATATATATATATATATATATATATATATATATATATATATATATATATATATATATATATATATATATATATATATATATATATATATAAAAGTTATGCATAATATGTTTATTAAGAAGCAGATATTAGAATTTTTACTGCGTATTTTTATAAATTTTTATAATACGTGTTTATTGGATTTTCGCTGTAATAACATTTTTGAACAAATTATACTGTTACTGTTGCTAATCTTTTTTAACATAGATAAAATTTAGAAAGCTGTTTTAAAATCTAAAATAATTTTTTAATATCTGTTTTTTTGTGAAAACTCGATTTTATATATATACTATAGTATTATTAATACCTAACTATTACCTAAACATTACCAATTTATTGTGATGTACTAATATAAATTAAAAGCTTGTTCTTACGGATCAGTTGACAAGATGATGTTTAAAATGTTAAATTATTTAAAACAATGAAGACTTAATTTTATATAATCCTGAAATAAAAAAATAAGTCACTTTGTATGCAGTACACAATCAGTATACTATAGAGTTTATAGCATGTTTATTTACTCCATTTTTATATATCATGACAGAATATTTTATAATGAAACATTTTTATGTATTTTTACACAATTATACAAATTTGTTATAAAGCACTACATCATTCGACAGGATTATTGTGTTTTTGTTTTTGACATGCAAACGTATAACAAATTTGTAAGAAAAAGCAAACGTTTCTTCGATTATAAAATATTATACAATTTTTTAAATTGCGATTATTATGTGAGTCTCATACCAAAGAGATTAGTGCTTTATTTATTTTGTTAATAGGTTGTATGTGTCATTTAAGAAATGTTATATCACGCATTATTCACATAAAACAAAAACAAATAAATTCGTTTTTTTCAAATTAATGGTAAATAAGAAATTACTACAATTATATATTTATACAATTATACATTTGGCTATAATTGACTTTTTAATAATCATGTAAGAGAAAGTTAATTTATTATAATTCGTATTTATCGTGCCATTTACTCTCCTTAGTGTTCACATTGATTAACTTAAATTTAATTTAGGGACCAATGTAATAACGTATATTGTCAAAATTAAAATTTATTTACTGTTAGATATAATAAAATCCTTTATTTATCATTTATTGACAATTCTGGTTTCTATTAAAGCTAAAAGAATTTAAGAAATTATTTTATAATAATATTACAATTTCTCCATATGTTTCCTTATGATAGTTGGCAGTTATCTTTAGATACTGCAGGAATTTGATCTCCCTTGACATTAGAAATTTCCATTGTCTTTTGTCTTGTGCTTGAAGGCTTTCATGAAAACAGGAAAATTTTAATAATTTTAATGATTCAATTAGATATTACGATACAATTGTTTCAAAAAACTGCTCACCGATGATGCCTGACTTCTTTGCAAATTTTCATCTGATATTCTAGACCCATTTTCCATCCATGACCATTCCTTTGTGTTCTAAAAATAGAAATCATTATTTAACTTTTATTCATTCTCTTTTTGTTTTAAATCGTACCAGTGTCTCCTGAAAGGTTTTGACATGATCTAATTTTGGATACAACACGTGGTCAATATCAGAAAGTGGTGGAGCAGTGGGATGCTGCAAAAGAATTTTTTATTACTTTGTTATTTAGACATAAATAAATGATACAAAGAGTACTCTTTCATTTGTCATCATTACTTCTCTGTTGTAGATATACATTAATAGGAATATTTGTTTCCTTTTTTAAATTTATCAAAATAAAAATGTTATGTTAATAAAGTGAAGAAACAAGTTTAATACATATATTAACTAGAATAAATTATGGATTTATACATACTTCCATTTTTTCAGTGTCTGTAGGCTGAACTGGACAACAATTAGTGTTGTGATTATATTTGTAACATTTTTCACATTTAAGATCCCAAGCAGGACAGGCTTGCATAGGATGCCTCTGATTACATTTGCTACAGTTTTTTTTATTTCGTCTTCTTACCCATTCTTTATTCTTATTTGAATTACTAGTCTCTTTATCAGAATGTGTAACATCCTTAGCAGATACATTATCAATCTTAATATTATTATCATCTATCTGTTTTCTATTTTGGTTTGTATCCTGTTTCCTCTTTTGCATGGCAGATTTATGTTCATTAAAAATTGATATAAATTCTGATAAATTAAGATTTTTTATATTAAACAGCTTTTGTCTCATTTGTTTATTATCAAATTCAATAATTAATTTGTCCCTAATTATGCTGTCTGTCATATTTCCAAAATTACAAGTTTTTGCTTTATTCTAGAAATTAACAGATACATAGAAAAAGTGCATTAAAAAATATATATAGTTTTTCAAAATTAACTTACTTTCAAATAAACAATATAATTTTCAATAGAGACATTGGAGTTTTTACGTGACTTAAAAAAGTTATATCTTTCTATAACTTCATTTTTAAGTGAAAGAAAGTATTTATCAAGTTTTGCTAATAATATATTCATGTCATCTCCCTCTTTCAAAGGGTTTGAAACAATTTTTTCTATAACATCTCGACCAATCTTTCCTATGTAAGTCCTTAAAAGATAAGCTTGATAATCCCGTTCTTTGTTTATAGAATTACTTGCTTTCATAAATATCATGAAATCTTTTCTCCATTTTTGCCAATTTTGAACCATATCTCCATTATCAGATAAAGGTTCTGGAGGTCGTGCATATATATCCATGTTGATAGTAATTTATTATCTACAATATCAGCACAAAACTGAAAAAATTTCATTTTAAGTATGACATTACTATATAAATAGTGTTAACGTTAGAACTAACACACCAGTAAAAATGAGTGATTTTACAATTTTATTTTAAAATTTCTACTTCTTGGTACTTTATTTGCAATGATGTAATGACTTTTACAACGACAATTAAAGGAATAATATAATGAATTTTATTGTATTTTTTTATTTACTTAAAATCAAAATAATTTTGTATCATGGCTATTTATACCAATACCAGTCATTGTGATTGGTACTTGTGAAAGTGTAAAAGGGTCCTACAATTTGTTTACCGAACCCGAATTTTCCAGCTTTCCCGTTTTGCACAACTTCCCACACGTTTTTAGCATTTTTACTGTGTATCATTCAATATGATGGTGTCAATTATCAGGAAAATTCCGGATCGATCATGATTTAAGTTATTTTATTTGACATATTATATTGTAAAATTATGAATACCTTCTCAGAAAAGATTTGAAAATATTATTAATTTATTTAACATTTATTTTATATATGTAATGTTTGTTATATTGTATATATTTTTATAATTATGTAACATATAATTTATTATTATACAATAAGAAATTAGTTTTTTCTACATATATTATATTTTATAATGATCAAAGACATATAATTACGTACCTGATTATCAAAAATGTGTTGCGCAGTGTCACATGAACACAATCTCTCACTTTTATAGCTTATTACAATATGACTTCGTCGTATCAATGATTTCTTTTCCGAAGGGTATTTCCCTACCTATTTAAGTGTGCCTTCTTTACGACTTGAAAAAAAATGATTGATCATGTGTGTCAACATTATAAAAAGCTTCAAGTTGACTTATTAACTTCAATGTTGGTAACAAATTTAAATTAAATTACTATAAACTTTAAATAGCTTTAAAATATAATGGGAATAGAATAATATATTATTAAACATAGTTTTCTTAGTGATTATCATTTTTCTGTGAATATCAATTGATGTCAAAGATGATTATTTATTAGATCAAACTTATGTTTCATCTTATTTAATTTATGTTTTAGGTTAAGTTAGCAGTAGAAGAATCTCAAAAAGTATTTGGATTTGGAGTTACAATTTTGAATAGAAAAGTTAATATAAGATGGATGAGGTACATGATTTGGAAGATTGGAGAATTTCCTTATCCTCACGAAACAATGTGATATATAATGGTACTCCGTATGTTCCTATGCTAGTGGAGAATATTCTTATACATATTTCTTTCGAAGATTACGAGACAAATGGGATTAAAACAATACAAACAGTAGGAAAACTTATTCCAAAAACTGAAACGTTTGCTACACTTTTATCTGTGACACCTGGAAATAATTCTGCATTTTCTGTTAGCCTCAAAATTTTAAAAGTTGGAGATATATACATTAAAGATTCAAATGATATATATTGTCCAATATGGGTAAGATTTTTACTTTTAAGGATTATTTATCTCGCTTGTTTTTGTAATGTAATTATAACACGAATAATTTTTTTCAGAAAAAATGCAGTATATTTAAAATATATGGAACTTTAAAGAAGGAGGGATTAGAAAATGTTTTAGAGGCTTCTCATTTGGTTCCAGTACAAGATGTTGTGGGTACATGGAATCTAATGGCGTCATTAAGCATAATTGCACGTTCAGAATATCGCCAGTAAGAATACTTGTCTATAAGAAATGAGAATAAATAATTACTAATGCTTATCTCATTACTAATGTCACTAATGTTTAGCTACTACCGTACCAAAGGACAAAGTAATATGTTACAGTTACAATGGGATAAAATGAAAAAGGAAAACAAACGAGTTACAAAGAAAGACATAAACATTTGATAAAATATATTATTCCAAAATCAGTTGTGAACATACATAAATATATACTTGCAATAAAAAGTATATTATATTTTCTTGTGTATTAAAGTATGTATAAAATTGTTAATAAATTGTTATGAACAGATACTTTGATTAATGTGCTTTTAGTGTTTAATATTTAGTTAATATTTTTGATGCATAATAAGTATAAGAAAGCATTCTTCAATTCAATTATATGAAAGAGTATTACCATTTTAATGTTTATGTGTATAAAATTTCTTATTACATTTTGAAGGAACATGCCCTATATGTTTGCAAATAGAGCAAACATTATCTTTTGCTGGACAAAGTGATCTAGATGCAGCATGGCTTAAACCACAAAAGCGACATTGTGCAATTTGAACAAGATGGCATTTCCACTTAAAATGATTTAATTTCTGGCATTTTGTGCAAATTTCATTAAAAGCTGGGCACCTCTTACGCATATGATCACCTCCACAATAATTGCAATTGTAAATGAAAATCGTTGGACATCGCCTTGGGAAATGATTCCATTTGTTACATTTTACACATTGTTTTCCCAATGCTGGACATTTTTCAGAATAATGATTATCACCACAACATAAACAACTGATGATATCAGTGTACAATTTCCAAATAAATGCGATTTCCTTTAATGTTAACTTGTTGAAATCAGAAGAAAATATAAATATTGGAATTAATTGTTTAGCAGCATTTGTAAATTGATGTTCATTAATTTCTGTTAAAATTTTCTTTTTTATTAATTCTTCTTCATTTTCAATATTTTTTTCTTTGATTATCAACTAGAAAAGAGAATTATAAAGTGCTTAAAAATTTACTATACATATGTATGCAACTTAGAACAATTTTTGTTATAAATTTTTAAATGTCTTTACCTGTAGGTCATCTATATATTTATAAACATTTTCTAAAGGTATCTTCTTTCTTCCTGAAAATATGTAATATTCATCAAATTTTTCTATTAATATATTTACATTTTCTTTGTCATTTGGAAAATTGAATACAAATGTATTATGAATATCTTGTCCAACTGGACCCATTAAATTTAATAATAAGTTTCCCCATTGTTGCTTGTCAGAATTGTTTTTATTCTGCACTCTTTTAAATGCAAGAAAATTATTTTTCCAAGTGTTCCAATTTTTGAAGAATTCCTCTTCCGTCATAAATGGCGCAGGTAGCTTAACGTAAGGTACCTTTGTAGTTCTTTTCGCCGAAACATTTTTATTATGTGAATTGCCTAAAAGTAAATGTATTATATAAAGAAACTACATATTTATACATAGAAAATAGTTACCCATTATTGCAACGACTGTATTTAAAATTCTTTACAATTTTTAACCTCTACAATCATACTGTCACTGGCTTGATCTCTTCGATGATTATACCAATTCCGTTGGTGCGACTTTTTGATTGGCAAATAAGCGAGGAATCCCCTACAACAATTCATTTCGTTAAAAACTGTCGTATATGAATAAATATAATTTATAGATACTGTATGAAAATATTTAAATGTATACACTTCCTGGCAAACTATTATAACTGATATGTTATCATTAAAAATAAGTTATCTGTAAGAATAGATTAGGTATTTCCAGGCTGCGATGCAGTATTAATCTTATAGAAGTAAAAAAATTAGGTTCGTTTTTCAAACAAAACTGAGTGCATTTGAGCTTAAATTTATACATTTGGTAATTCCCACATGATTTGATCATGAAGAATGAGCTAGCATAGTTGATGCATTGGTTTTTGGACACAGACTGTCAGTCGTTAGGCGTTCCCCTGGCAACTCTACTCAGATTACATACGACTACTTTGCCATGCGATAAGATTTCCTAGTTCAACTTCTATCCTTTAACATTTCAACATTCTTTGTCTAAGTATTTTTGATTGTTTTTCTATCTGAAATATCTGTGAATAATCTCATAGTTCGCAAGACAGTTTTGTGATTCGGTGGAATTGAAAGATTACTAGGACAATTCAATCAGCTTCTTAAGAAATTATTTACAATGAATTTTTAATCATCATCGTCTAAAAGACGTTCGATTTGGAATTATTACATTTGGCTACGATTTAAAAAATAATGTGTTTGCACTCCAAAGGAGTCAAAACGACTGTAGTACATAGTACATGTATGATGAGCGATAAAAACGATACGGTTTTCCGAATGATCGATTGAAAGAGGAGTTGATACATATAAATTTTCGCTAGTGGAAGCTTAGCCACATGGATACCAATTACAGAGCAAATATCGGCAAGTGGCTACCACCTCCAGGCGACGTTCTCGAGAAATGGTTCCTCAACTCGTCGATGGTTACAGAGAGCATAGACAATCTTATTGAATCCATAGCCTTAATCATCCAGGACATCACAGATTCACAGATCTGTGAATTCGAGGTGCGAAACATGAGTCCTTATATGTTTTTCCATGGTAAAGTACTGGTCGTAGTTTAATTTCTCATTATGAACCGTACGATTAATGAAATTAGCCTGCAATATGCCCTTTGGTGTCGTGAATGAAAGATATTTCTACGGAAGCTGCTCGAATTAAATAAAGTGTTCTCTGCTTTTTTTGTTCTGTACCCAAAAAGAAAGAATTGAAATTTTATTTTCTATTCTCATATCGTTCAGAAAATTTCTATTATTTTATAGCATCAATATTTTTAGTATAGATGAAGTTTCATAAAGATGGTTTCGTAAGATCTTTGAAATTTTTCGTAAATAAAGAATAATTTAGGTAAAAAGGTACTTCTATTCCTTCACGAATAGACTGCAAATGTTCATGCATTTATGGAAAATTTAAAGGTTCAAAAATGCACAGAACGCATATAATATGTAAAAATATATATAACATCCAATTTATGTTATAATATCTAGTAGATGAACCGAATTTTAGATTCGATTTGGATTCTCTATTTAGGTTTTATTTCTTTAGTCAATCAAAATTAATTTATAAAATTGCGTAAATATCCGCAGTATATTCACAAATAATTATGATGATTGTCAAATTATCTTTGTATTGAATTGAACGAATTTTTATTTGTATTTTATATACAGGTATATAAGAGAGTTGCAAAGGATCTAGAAGAGATAACGAAAGGGTACAAATCGATCAGTACGACGAGTCTTAGTACACATCTGATTTACAAGTATAAGATGCGTCATTTCTTGACGATATTAAAACGAAAATTGAACGTACTCGTAAGGTTCACTTCTAATTTGATAAACGAAATCGTCGATTGTAAGAGTGACGAGTTGCTTAGGATTATTTTTAGGTGAATACCGTAGGGTCGTACGTTGAATTTTCATTCGACTAATAAAAACCTATTGGTTCTAGGTTGGTGAACATTTATAACGATGTATTAGACATGGATATCGAGGTTTCTGGTCCTTCAACAAGCGTATTCTGTAATGATTGTCCTTATATACTGGAACCAATGAAGAAGATATCCGTTACTCGAATATTGCAGGTGAAAGTTTTTCTCAAAATTGTACTACATCACTACGAAAATTTTGTTCATTCAATTTTTCTTTCTGAAACCTATAGTGTTTCAAATTTTCAACGAACGAAATCGTGAATTTTTTGGCACAAATTCGACAAAACGAATAGAATGATATTAGAAGCTAAGTCGATAGATTGTCGATTGATTTTCTAGATCAAAGTTCGAACAATAAATAATCTACGACTTGATTCCAGATGCTGGCCAAAAATAGAGCGGAAGAATCTTGCCACGAACTCATTGACTGCCTTTTAGCAAATTACAAGCCCCGCGAGAAAACCGATCCCTCTACGACAATATCTGGCGACGCCGACGTTTCCGAAAATTCGAGTATCGAGATTTATCGGTCAGGGCAGCCAGTATTAAATTAGTATAAAAGACTATTCTATTTTTGTCGCGTATTTCACGAAAAATTGTTTCGCAGAGCGCTTACGAGACATTTAACGCCGCCGATCGAAAGTTCCACGTCGAGAACGGAGTTGGAGGTATCAAATATTGAGAGCATTCAGACATTAGTCAATACTCAAAATGAACAGATACTGAGGCTGTTAAACGTCGTGCAAGATGTTTCACCGAAATTATTTGGCACTGATGCGTTAAAAACTAGCAAAGGTAAACAAGAAAATCTTTTCCATTGTTTAACTCTTGCCTGGCGCAGGTGTGGCCATTTTTATCATGTGTATCGAATGAATTAGAACTTTATTTTACAGCAACAAAGCGTAGGTTTAAATAAAAAGAATTTTTACCTTTACGTGATAATGAAATTCACTTAAAAAATAAAATTGCTTATACAGTTTAATAGAATAGTAACAGAGAAATATAATCTAGATAGTAATTAATGACGAATATTTCGTCAAATTCTCCCTGACTGTATGTGTCAGAATTAATCGGACCTAGCCTCCTGTGCTTGCGGACTAAATTTCATTCTTAATTACCAATCCGTCTAACATTGAAACCACCAACATTGAAATTACCAACCCGTGAAACATTATAAAATATTCACGGTCGTGAAAGGCGAGACAAGATTGAGAAGCAGTGCGATAAAGAAGGTGAAGAATTATTATCAAGAAGTTGCGTGGGGCGCTCTATCAGGTATTCTGGATCACGTGGTTCTCTGGTGGTCTTCGGAGGCTCTGGCTACTCGTCATAATCATGGAGCACAGCAGCTTAAAGACTGGCTTAGTCAATTCATCCAGAAGAATCATGGTATAAAAGAAATATCAATATGAAACACACACTTAAAAATTTCACGTAATACAAACAATTACGTATATTTATTAAAATTTTAGTACCACAGACGGTGAGACCAGCGTTACAGAATCTTTGTGATGCACTTGGTTACCACGCCACGATTACAGAATGGGATCAGTTCTTTAGACTGGCTTATACATCAGCTTTTAAATGTCAGTCGAAAGCTTCCTTCACGGAGGTAAGTTCTCTTTTTATTAAAAAAAATACTCAAGTAAAGAATAAAATAATATTAATAAATTGCGATTATACATAGTGTTTAGGTTTAGCGATCGGGTACTCTACAAATTAAAGTGCTACATACCATACCTTCCTAATCCCAACACATAGAATGATTCAAAAGGGTTTGTGTGAATTTCCAGGTGTCTGACACGGGCCAAATGTTCGTAGAATTGTTCCAACTGCTCGTTAGGTTGAGCAACGAATGCGAGGCAGGCGGTGAATGGGTGATAGGAGCACCATTGATAGAGCTACCACTATCGGAACAGATCGTCATCCTCCATCGATTAGATCATTCGGTACATACAGCGAGGCTATGGATTGTGCAGGAGGCGAAAATCATAGCTCATACGTGGGAACTGGACGTGTTCTTTCTTTTGGTAAAAGGTGACATAGTGAACTGTCTCGAAGAACTTTCATATTTAAAGGTAAAGCTTAGGCTCATTAAACAACTAGTTATTTTTTAATATTCTTCTTTAACGTATAATTTTCTTCATCAAAAGTTTTTACACTGTGTTAAATTATTTTCTATGTTTCAGCTGGCTGATCATACGAGTACATTGTCAACGGATTCTGTGAGTGTTCAGGTATATGTTTGCGCGAAAATGAGAGCGAAAATTGTGTCTGAAGTAAATGTCAACATAGATTTACTCCAGGTAAGCGATGATTTGTAAGTGTTCGGCAGCTCTGCTGAGGTTTCTGTTTTTATATACTTCCTGTTGTTTTTCCACAGAAGTGTACCGGAAAGTGTGTAGAAATTCTGGCAAAAATCTGCCGCGTGGTCAGCCTAGCGAATCTACACATGTGTTTTCCACGGTCAAGTTACTGGAGGAAAGGGAGCGACGTCGCTCCAGTGACTGCTAGTCTTTACGTGGAGTCGTATTTCGGTAAGCAAATCGCTCTTACACGTACGCTTGATTCTCTAAAGCTGTCTATTCCGCAGAGAAAGTATTGCTTCCGGTGTTAGAAGTTATTGAAGACCCCGAGACGTCGAATATGATTCTGAAAATTATGTGCGAGGCATGGCTGGATTACATTTATCTGCATCGTATTAAATTCAGGTAAATCGTCAGCTGATCCTGATCTTTATTTCCGGTAAAAAAAAGTGACAAGAAGAAGCGAAATAGAAACACGATACGATATAAATTAGATTTTACATTTTTAAAAATATCTTTTAGCGAATATGGTGCGTTGCAATTGCTTACGGACTTCGCGTACGTATCGAAATGGGTGACAAATTGCCCGATTATTTCTCAGAATGTACGAGATCATCTTTTGAAAAACGAAGTGCTGCGACGATGTGAAGGAGTGGGTCGATTGCTCCTTCGACATCCTGGCGAGGCTATTTCTATGCGTAAAAGACTCAGTACGAAATAGAATTATCATAAAATTAGGGCGACTTGAATTCGAAATGGTAAGAAAAGATCTTTTACTCTATCTAATGTTTCAGCCAGAAGAACAAACGAGCATGGATCGCCCGAATCCCCGGGATTGGAACGCATGCCAGCGGAAATGTACGTCCCCAACCAGGAACAATGGCTGGAGCTTCGTGCCTCGAAAAGATACAACTTTTGTTGCACCGAATGACCAAAACATTTTAACGAATTTATTATATGAAAATAATCATAAGATTTTAATATTTAGATCCAGCTTACTCGTTTCTAAACCAACTATACTATAATAAATAATAACCAATCAACTAAATCAACTTGCTATAATCTTTATTAAATCGACTTAAAGATAGATGTCTCATCAGCTTATTCTAGTCGTTTTAGTAGGTTTTTGTGTTTGTCTTCGTTATTTTTTCGCGCTTGCTCTTTCATTTTTCATTTAATCTTGAATAGGAATATCGAGTATCTGGATGCAACTGCAATGTTACGGACGAATTACGTAACGCATATAGGCTAATTCCGCGCGCGTATTGTTCCAACAAAGCCGGAAGATCCCCGGTGCGAATACAAGCGAGTTATGCGTCTGCGAAGCCCGTTAACGGGAAGGAAACCTTTCGGCAAACCTTCGCGCGTCACGTATTACGTTACGCATCTCCATACGTTACGAAATAAAAAGGGACAATACGTTGTATAAGATTTAATTAGCTGAACGTCGACTATTGACTGCCTGCTGGAAATTAGTCGAGTCTTTGCTTTAGAATCTAACGCAACGCTTTTTTTAAGTCTACCGTGATGAAACGGTCTAGATTATCGTTGGTCCGTTGATTTTCGTATTTGATCGACGGAAGGACTCGGTTAATTACACCCTGTCACGTTTACGACGCGTCGAAGATTGTAATTAGCGGTGGATGCACGACGATCGATGTGCCAGTTCAGCCGCTTTCATAATTACTGCCTAGCTATGCAGAGAGGAGTTGGATAATCAACAGGGAGCCCGTTGCTTGGGTTGATCGTCGATTCGACACGTGACAGCAGGCCATCGGATTTCCCACGATTATCACTGATAAATCGATTTTTCCTCACCTACTGCGGAAATACTCGTGTTCATCGCGTTGCTTTGCTAATAATCGTTTCTGGAAATGTACCAATGCTCGTGAAAACGTGAGTATAGATAGTTTTGACGATATAAGCGGTTTTGAAATTGGTCGTGTATTTCTTTGACGTCTTCCTAAGTTACATTTTTAATTATTATAATGTAGATTATCGCTATTTTAAGATGCAAAGATGTCGATTATCTTTTTCGAAACGAAGTTCCGCTTCTCGACTTCGACCCATAGACATCGCAGGATAAAAATGCGACGAGGCGACTTGTATTTCATTCTAGTCCGTCGATCCTCGATTCTTCTTATGTAACACGAATCGGTCAACTTGCATAGCTAGTGCACTGTATGTATAATGTATAGTGCGCTAAGCATAGAACGCTCGCGGGATAATAGATATCTCGATAGCAGTGGCCCGTCAAGGCGTTCGAACTTGCTTGACTCACTTGCTTGAATTGCTTGAATGTGAGGATTTGCGGATGATAAGAATAATCCCGATTTAATTGCCTTTATTTTCGACCGTTGCCCCCGTTGGTATTACGTTAGTAGCCTATTTAGAAACTTTTATGCGTTCGTTTCCTTCTTTCGACATTATTCACGCGTTTACGATCCTAATTTGTAGCAATTCGAATTTTTCCAATTCTTGGTGCGCGAGTAAGTTTAGGAATGAGCTTTTGTGATTTTCGAATATTTTAGAATTTGATTGATTGCGTTAGAATGATTTCGTATAGTGGTGGATTTTGAAACGTTCAGGTGTTTGGCAATTTATATGATACTTCATCACTATATCGAGACCAGTATCGTTCGTATCGCGTTTCACCATCGAGTTGGAGCCTGTTTACTGCTATTCCATTCTTCATCCGTCAGTAGTTTTTACAACTTTTTGGGCAAAAGTGAGCATCGATCCTGTCATGTGATTCTTGTAAACACAACTATAGAAATGGTAGTTAAGTTCGTTTCCCTTGCTAAATATCATCATAAGTATTCTATTTTCGGTATATTTTACATATTTTTACATATTATATACTTTCCATATATTTTTTCATCTCTAAATTTCTCGAATCTTGATGTTGATACAAGATGGATCTTATTATAATCTTTGAATTCGATGATAATATATTAATAAATATCACAAATATATCTTCCATTTTCATGATTAAAGAATTAAAGGTAACAATATTTTTCAACGTTCTCAAACAATGAGAAATAGCATTAATAACTTTCTGACGAAGGGATGCAGCGTAGAGAGCGACAGAAAGCATCTTGCTGTGCCCAAGAGGACAGGAAGTTCCGATTTGCGTCGATTCCTCCGCGGTAAACCGAGTCGACTCGAACCGAACGGAGTCGAGCTGCGAAACTCGCCAGTTGTCCACGCCAGTTCACTTTTGTTCGCCATTGTGATCATCAACACACCACGAGTATTTTCCTCGAGATTTCTTTTTGTCGTTCGCCAGTGAGATATTGTCGTTCGGACCATGTACGCGGATAGAGGAGTTAATGAAAGGACGTCGCTTACGAGACCTCTGGATTCCCCGGACTACGTGGAATTTGCGAGCCTGCTGAGGACCCGGAAGACTCGAATCAGACAGTTTCAGTGCTGCATCTGCGCCGCTGTAATGTAAGTCTTCCTATATTCTCCAGAAAAAGAGACCTTGCTTGTCTTATATTTCTTTATCTTTTTCTTCTTAAAAAGATGTAGAGAGATGTTGGAAATACTGAGAGATCGAAAGAAGTATGAGAAGGAATTCTCTGTTTTTTAATATTTTCTTATTTCTTTATCCTTCTCTTTAAAGAGATGGGGATGGTCGTTGAAAATATCTGAAAATTGAAGTACGGGGACAAGTTCCCTCTAGCGAAGGTATTTCTTAATATTCCCATATTTCTTTATTTCTTTCTTTAAAAAGATAAAGAAACCTGTTAAAATTATAGAAAGGTTGGACTGTGAGTGTAAACTATCTTCATTCTTTTTATCGTTTAACATTCCTTTGTTAGTGTGACTTAATTTTTATCATTTTCTTGGAAAGAAAACATGAACACTCCTTTATTTATGTGATCTATTGGATCTTCTTATTCTTCGTATTTCCTTATTCATACAATTTTAATAAAAATTGTCATAAACAATTCTTTATTTATCAGAGTGTATCTTTTTATATCAGATTGGATTGGAATAGTTTTCCAGTAGGGATGATAAGCGTATTATTGCCTGTCACTGGAATGTTCGATGCTTTGCATGTATTATAAGATGCGATTTGCAACTGGACGATGCCAATCCAGCGTTCGAAAGTATTTGCGTCTGTAATTAAGCGTGTTTATATAATTACAAGAGAAGGCTACCTTGCATGCGTGATGCGATGTAACCAGTCGTTTAAACAAATAACATGCGGATGAGGCATACATAATCAATCACAATCAAATAAATAATATAAAAACCTTTTACTTAAAAATATTCATATAATTAATTAAAATTGCACAATTAAACCAATATTATTAATAAAATTATACAAATCACGAATCAAAAATTACCAGTAATAATATATTTTCTTCTATAATAGCAACAAATTTAGAAATCAAATAAAACTTTACAAACAAATTTTACAAATTACCAATTAACTGATTACCTTTTTCGACGTAAAACTTTAAAATTATAAAAAGGAGCACTATAATTTACAACCAGTAGTCAATTTACTAATAGTATTAACTGGCAAATTATTGCGCAAGAGAGTTCTATTCGATAATAAAACGAAGGGAACAACAATCAGGAATTCATCAATTTTTTATGATACCGCACGATACCGAGATAATTGAATTTTCCAAGTTAACCCTTTTGTCCGGGACGGTTGAGACGACTTCTGAGCGCATTTTCGATTCGGAATCCACATAAAGGAACGCTGTACGAGTTCACTAGTACACCGACCATTAGCATCGTCACTTCGTGTAGGGAAAAAAACCATTGTGCATCGAGTCCCCACCGTAAGCGGATACTTACGTAAAATCATCGCTCACCTCGAACCACCGCCTGACCGGCCGATCGTTTCAGTTCGGTCTTGGAACGCGTGCAACCAGGAATGCTTTCCTCGGAGAAGACCTTGTTGACCGGCGACAAGCCAGCCAGGGTGTACTACGTGCATGACGCGTTGCCATTTTATTCCCATCACAGGAGGCAACGGCTGCAGCTACGATGTTTCACGTACACGATCGCGGTGTGAGTCGCATTTCCATCGTCTTTGCTTCTATCCTGTTGTCCTTGTTTGTGTTCTTGCGCTTTCAGTTTGAATCTCGCGCACCTTGTGATTTTTATCAAATGAGTAGAAATGAAAAATAATATTTAGAATCATATAGAAAATAATATAGTTCGGTTTGGTTTGATGTAGTCTCATCTTTTATCTTTTGATCGAGATTCAAATTTTGATTATTCGTCGATTATATGTACGGTATTTTTGTCGTAGGAGAACGACGTCGTCCTGTTTCGTGCGATGTTAATTTGACACCTTTCATCTTGCGTTTCTGTTATGTTTTTCGATTTCGGTTCATTTGATTATTCGTAGATTGTTGGTATTTTCGACGAATAACATTTGTAAAATGATTAGCTGCAGTCTATGTATCTGATTCGATTCTAACGTTTTAGAGAGTTTTCAGATTATATCGCAGTAAAGTGGATCCGTGCAACAACGAAACCGCGGTTTCTATGCTGCGGTTTCGTCTGGGCGTGACTCGAACACGTGAGACGGGTTTACGACAGGTTCATCATGGGGCAATTCTGTCTTGCTCATTAGAAATCATCCACTCTGTTTCATTTTACAAGCTTTCAAACTTCAATATATTCACTTAAATAGCCTCAGACAATAAGACAGTGGATTATACGTGTAGAAACTTCCGTTGTTTGGAGATTTTCCGTGACACAAACGAGCATTAAGAACAACAGCTCGACCTTATCTCATATCTCATTTGCAGAGTAAAACACCTTGCAATTCGTTTACGAGGTACAAACAGTCTTGTATGGAACTCGGCGTCTTGCGCATAGGCTGATTAGCGTTACGTGATGCTGGCCTTGATTACATGCGTGATTGTACGGTGACAATACGGTTGGCCACTGTTACAACTTTTCAAACAGCTCTTATTTCATCCTGGTGGTATTTAAATCGATGCTTCTTCGATAAATTCACTTTTACGATTCGTCTGATTTATGTATTGAACGTCATTCTTAAAACGAAAGTTTGTTTTGATAGCCTTTTGTTATTATACAATTTATCGAAAAATAACTATCTTAATTGTCGAGGAATTATCGAAGGATGACTATCTTAATTTCTATGCACTTTTGATAAATTAAACATTTTGTAGGCAAAGTGACGAAATTTCATCCTTTTTCTTCGAAGCGAATTTTTATTTTTATTGAAAAAAGTTATAGGCAATTGACTTAACGAATGAATTGTATAATTCAATAAAGTCATCGATATCACAGAAGCTTTTTACATGTTTTAGAAGCTCTAGAACAGTACAAAATTTACCTTTGGATGTAAACAATCCAGTTTGCCTATGAAGGATAAAAAAATATATATCTAATTATCAAAATATAGCTCTTTAAGCTCTTGTTGCACTTTTATTTCAGAGCGATCTTCACTATGGCCCTTATAGTGACAGTAAGCTACTCCGTGAGCCACGATATGATAGACGTCGGTCCAAACTTCACCACTTCTTCCTCCGAGTCTACCATGAATCTCACAAGCAATTTAAAATTGGGCATTGCTCCTGGATCTGGGTCCTACACCCTCTTCAGCAATCCTTCCATCGTCCCATCTTCTAATTCTATCTTTGTGTCTGACAAAAACACAAAAGATACTGCTACGCCAAAATTAACAGACGATGAGATAAAGATAGGGCTGGAAGCAAGTCGCCAAGCAGTAAATGAGCGACTTTTTGCAGACGTTACTGCGTTGATGTCTCCATTACCTTCACCATCGCCTGAAATGAGGCATCGTTACGCAGTAAGCACTTGCACGAGTGTTGGAACACTAGCTTTAGCGGCTGTAGCAGAACTTGCAGCGACTAAAAGAATCGAAAGTTCAAGGACAATCTTTGGAGCATCCTCTGCTATTGGAAGCTTCTTCGACGCAGGCTGGCAGTTTCTGGGTATTTGCAAGCAATTCACCACCCCAGAATGTCCATCTAGTAAATATAGAACCTTCGATGGAAGTTGCAATAGACCAATGCAATGGGGAGCCACCATGACACCATTCAGAAGAGTTCTAGCGCCTAACTATGCCGATGGTGTCGAAGCTCCTCGCAGAGCAGCTACAGGAGCCGAGTTACCCTCAGCAAGGGAAGTTAGTTTGAAGGTTCACAAGCCTTCACCAAGTAGCAATCCTCATTTCACAGTGATGTTAGCTGTTTATGGACAATTTTTGGATCATGATATCACCGCTACTGCGATTAGTCAGGGTATCAATGGTACTTCTATTTCTTGTTGTCCACCATCTGTTGGTCATCCTGAGTGTTTTCCTGTTCCTGTATCTTCTGGAGATCCTGTTTTCGATGTAGCTGGGAGAACGTGTATGGATTTCGTCAGATCTGCACCCGCACCCCAGTGCAAACTGGGCCCCAGGCAACAGTTGAATCAGGTGTGTACTTCAGGTGTGTTGTTTCAAAGTTTAATGCTTGTCCTCATAAATCGACATTTTAACGTTATGAGCATTAATTCTTGACGTATAATGAGATTCCATTCGAAGGACGGTGTCAGTCGTGATACAGGGCGACGAGAAATTGCTATCGGGACGGATGAAAAATTCCCTTGGAACAATGCGCGATAGGCGCGTCGCGTTGTTAATTAACTCGATTATCGTCGCATCGATGAGGCGAGTTTTGATCGTAATTACGTATTCGTTATCTCCGTAATAATGATATCGCACAATAGTGATCTAGACAATGGGAACAAAATTACACTGTTAAATATACTTGTTCGTTTCTCTTTGATTCCAAAAAGTCAAACCTTTCATATTTCAAAGTGAATATATATTATTTTGCACAGGCGACTGCGTTTATTGATGGCTCTGCAATCTATGGATCTGATCAGGATACAGCTCGTAAGTTGCGAGAATTTTCTGGCGGTCGTCTGAGGATGCAGTTGACTCCGGACAATCGAACTCTCTTACCACCTAGCATGAATCCTAACGACGGCTGTAATCGTGAAACTGAGAAGTTGAGGGGCAGGTACTGCTTCGCAGCAGGCGACGCCAGGGCAAACGAGAACCTGCACTTGACGACGATGCATCTGCTCTGGGCGCGACAGCACAATAGAATCACCGAGCAGTTGGCTAAGGTCAACCCTTCTTGGAATGACGAAACGCTATACGAAGAGTCTCGACGTATAGTGGGTGCTCAACTGCAACATATTACCTATCAGGAATTCATACCTATTATCTTAGGAGAGCAAGAAACGAATCTACGTGATTTGAAGCCTCTCAGGTCCGGCTATAGACAGTGGACCGTAGATGACTCTAATACTGACCCAAGTATAGCCAATAGTTTTGCAGCAGCTGCCTTTAGGTTTGCTCATACTTTGTTACCTGGCTTAATGAAAATGACTGACGAGCAAGAAGGAACCTCCTCTTATGTAGAACTGCACAGAATGTTGTTCAATCCATATAGTTTGTACGCAGAGGGTGGAGTGAAGAGTTCAGTCATCTCAGCTACGAGAAATATGATTCAGATGTCATCTACCCATGTCACTTCTCAATTGACCAATCACTTGTTCGAAGATCCTATTGCTAATGTTACTGTTCCCTGTGGCTTGGATTTGGTATCGTTGAATATTCAGCGTGGGAGAGATCATGGACTTCCTGGTTACATTAAATGGAGGGAATATTGTGGATTGGGGAAAATAAAAAGTTTCTCTGATTTGGAAGGACACCTGGATCCGCAGGCCCTTCAAGACATTTCCTCATTGTATGGGTCGATTTATGATATTGATTTATATACTGGAGCTTTGGCTGAATTACCTAGGGCTGGTGGTATCGTTGGTCCCACTTTTACGTGTCTGATCGCTGATCAATTTGTTAGGTTGCAGAAAGGGGATAGGTTTTGGTATGAAATGCCTGGACAACCGCATTCATTCACAGAAGGTAAGATAATTGTTGATTATACTTAAAATTTATATTCTGAGTACTAAGATGTCTGAGGAAGTTCTTAATTTTTTTAGAATCGAATTATTTTTAAAAAGAAGAGATTTTTTTATCAATTACTAATCGGTTAGAACAGTTATTGAATAAAAAACAAAGTACCTTAAACTTGACTGGAATTTATAACTGAATTTTTTGTTATTTTCCATTTTTCAATAAAACTTTCCCAAAGTTTTAGACAAGATTAGATAAGATTGTCACATGCAATTTCACAATGTATAATAAATTTATGTTGTATTGCAATATTTATTCGTGCGTTTCCATTCTTCTTCTTTTTTCAGACCAGCTTACAGAATTACGTAAAACCTCATTGGCGAGGTTGATCTGTGACTGTTCCGACGGTGTAATACAAACTCAGATGGAAGTGATGCGAGCAATAAGTGCAGAGAACCCCATGATGTCCTGTGAAGACATCCCAGGGCCATCCTTTGAACCATGGAGGGAATACAACTCAACATCCCCCAAATTACAAGTTCCTTTCATGCCAGTCAATTGGACGCTATTAAAGAACAATATTAATGACACAATCAGAGATATCGTGACCTATATCAACAGTTCTAGGACTATGATGGACACTGACTGGTTAGCCTTCAAGAATTACATAAACGATACATTCTTTGATCTTCAAAACCAATTATCTGGTTTGCATCCCCTGGAGGTAGATGATTCTACGTCCATGGAAAAATTATCAATGGATTCTGATAGTTTTATTTTAAGAGCACCACGATCACCAAATATGTATCAAGATTGGATCACATTTAAAAATAACCTGGTAATGTCATTGAATGATTCTATACAGACGATGGGCGGTGGACCAGCTGCAGTGACCAAATGGATAGCTTTTAAACAGAATGTTATCGATCAATTCGCTGATTTAAAGAACCGGATCTCGTCTTTGAAGGCAGATATTACTCCGGAATTAGAGACGAAGAAGAAAGAGCAAGAACAAGCTTTGATGAATAAGAATAAATTAATAGGGACTTCGAGTATCAAGAAGATTTCAGCAATTTTTGATTGGAAAAACTTTAAGGATAATATTATATCCTCTTTAGATGATAGTATTATGAATATAGGCGACAATATGCCCGCCCCTAGTGATCCAGCTTGGGCTACTTTAGGAGATGATATTAAAGACCGACTTTCTGCTTTTAGGGACAAGATCGATAGTCGGAGATCTACTACAGTTCCTACTGAATTAGCCATGGGGAAATCAGATACTAATGACGATTGGATAAATAATAAACTTGATATAATTAAGACTGTAAACGATGCTGTGAATAAGATTAAGAACGAAATGCCACCACCAGCTGATCCAGCATGGGCTATGTATAGGGATGAGATTATGAAAAGTTTCTCTGCTTTCGAGAGCACTCCAGCACGTATAGAACTCGCAACATTATCCACCATAAATAAAATTTCTCAACGTGAATATCTAGGAACTTCTTCAGCAGACAAATTTGGTTATATGGAATTATCTAATTTGACTGACGATTGGTTACAATTCAGAGCTCAAGTCAACGATTCCTTAAGTAAAATGATCCAGGACATTCAGAGCAAGGAACCAACAGAGATTGATCCTATTGCTTGGGCTGTTTTCAAAGATTCAACTAAGTCTGATTTCGCAAAGTTAAAAAATGAAATTGGAAGTATGAAGACTGAATGGATTGCAGAAATAAGCAAATTACAACCAAATAAAAATTTTTCGAATCTCCAAGCTAAGTTTAACAAATCTGAAGACTCGTCTAGGTCTGATTATATTAAATTTATTAAACCAGTCATTCCTCCTGATGAATGGGTCGACTTTAAGAAACAAATTAACAATACTGTGATGAATATTCTTAATACTGCGAATACAACAGATAGATGTAACTTTGATGACCTCCACGAAATGTTCAACGAATCTTTCACCGATCTGAAGAACGAAATATCAGCTCTGAGGAGTTTGGTCAAGGATACTTATAATAACAAAACCGCAGCTGATTGGATTAGCTTCCAAATGAAGTTGAATTTTACAGTGAAGGATCTAGTGGATAGTTTAAAGAAAGAAGCTCAGCTACAAACAGGGAATGTGACGAGGATTTTGTTCGAAGCTAAAGACAAGTTGTCTGATCTTGAACCACCAGTGAATTCAGGCTTGACTCCGCCCACAAAATGGATTCAATACGCTTTACGAATAAATAAAACAATTTCAGATGCTTTAGAAGGCATCGACAGCCAGAAACACGCAGCACTGATGATTAGTGCCGCTAAACCAGAATCATCATCATCAGATAATCCTAAAAATCTTACGAATTGGTTGATTGTTCCTTGTCTTGCGAGTTCGCTCCATGTGTTCACTGTGGTATCAAGGCTTCAAATTCGCATGTAAAGAAATTACTACTATTTTTTATTATGCTTGTTGTATATATTCTATTATTTATAGAAATTAACTTTTATTACACACTAACAAAGAGATAAGTATAGGAGGAAGGAATCAAAAGGAAAGTGAGAGTGTCATTGGAACTGACGTACCTTTTCAATGATCGCGCTTGAAACATTAATCCCAATTAATTAACAACAACAACAATGATAATAATAATTAATATGAATCTACGTGGCGAGACTTAATAACAGGGCAGTGCCTCTTTTTACCCAGAAGTCCGATCCTCCTGGACCTGCGTTTAAATCGACCGCTACTACGAACGATGGTCTTCCTTGATCCCCGCTTCTTTGGGGGTAATAATAACAGGGACATGTGTAGAGTCCTGTGCAGAGAAATCGAAAGAAAGTATGTAATTACTTGAATTAATTAGAAAATCGTAATTTCAAACGAAAATTCTTTTCATCAATGTGGCGAACAATTTTTTTTCGAATAATTTTTATATCGTTGTCGTCGTTGTTACCTCTGGTTCTCTTTTTAAGCTCTTCCGCGGGTCGGAAGTGAATCACCGGCATGTTGCAAACAAGTTGCATAGGGGACGGTTCGACGAGGACACTGTTCCTCTTGTCCCAGCCAGCGCCTTCCAGAAAGATAGAGCGTATGTACACGCCGTCCTGTAATGGAATGTACACACGGTTAGAAGCATGCACACACGCCGCCACTTTCCTAGCTATATCACTACGATGAATTTTTTATCCCATCTATTTTTCCGCGGTAGGTTTCTTCTTTCATCGAAGGAACGCTCAAACGGCGACCGAAAATCAGAATAATTAAATTGATTTTCCGCATGTTTGATGTATTTTGCTTATGTTCTTTTTGATTTTTAAAATTTCTTTTCAAAGTTTAAAATATGAAGTCGATTGAAGTTAGGACGGATATAACAAGATGTATTTAATATGAAATTACCATCGGTGATTCGATTATGGCCGACTCGTCAATGGTAAAAACACTGAATTCCCAGGACAGGGAATCGATAGAGACGTTCCAGAGCCTGGCGGATGTCTGCAATACAGCGGTAAGGAAGCCGGTTGGGAACGTGAATGCGGCCAGCCAGAACAGCAGCGGCGGATGAGTAGTTCGAGCCCATTCATTGAAGTGTTCCACCCTGCTGACTAAATCCCTTGTCCAAGCACCCAACAGTTTCAACGACGGATATGTTGTCAGCCAAATCGAAGGGACGCGACCTTCGTGTACACAGGTAAAGATTTCCTCAAGGTTTGATGACATCAACACCAAACCTTGGATCGCGAGTTGAAGATCTTTCAAGCTACTGCGAGTCTTTTGCAGCAGAATGTTGTAACGTTGTATTTCTTGAAGCAATACCACATCCAATGGTGATTTCTTTGGACCTATTAATTTCTGAGCTGTTTCGTAATCGATGTCGTTTGGTATTCTCGATAGTATGTCCATGGTTAAATGAGTAACCTTAAGAAATGAGAAGTTGATGTTGATTTTTATTTCTGTTAAATTTTTTATAGCGGAACGAAATTTGAGTTATTGCTCGATCTAGTTTGTAGACCTCCAGTAACAATTAGTGGCAGAGCTGCTATGTTTTATTTTATCTTATTTCTAGCAGTAAAAATCTAGCGAATCTAGTAAAAGAAATACTATGTAAACTGTTTGTTCCTAGAGAGTTTAGATAATTGAAATTTTCTATTGTCAGTTTTTACAAACCTTTTCCTCCTTAGTAGTTTCTTCTTTGGCAACTGCCTGGACCTGAAGTCCCATCAGAGTCTCGAACATATTTCTGGTTTCCATGATTAAACAGGTGATATCTGCGTTCGGGTGTTGACCGAACGCTTCCGGTTTGTCGATGGTCGGTAGGACCGTGATGAAATCGTGATAGGATGCCAACGAACCATCCCTCGGTATGTAATAGGTTGGTAGCGATGATAAACGATAATAGGGCACAGTCAGGGCCTCCTCGGTGAAATATTGTTGAATGTACGTCATTAGCAAACGACGGTCCCAGTCGTCGGTCACGTGTCCACCGTAACAAACACCTGCTATGAGATACTTCAATGATTCCCATGGCGTCACTGGGTATTCATCAAGATACACTTGCAAGAGATTTTCCGATACCTATGTTTAAAACGAAAAATCAATCGCACAGCTACTATTTTCCACCTTATAATTTTTCTCATATTATATCTTGTTTCTATATATCATTATAATTGAATTTAAAAAACATTCGAATAAAATTATTTTATTGTTTTGATGTTTAGTTGTAGGAAGTAGAATCAGATCGATATTTTGGTCGTAGTTCTTAATTGCAGATTACACACGTCTTTAGATTGAATTTTTATTTCATTATTATGACCTGGTTAAGAAGTTTTAACGATCAAGTCTATATTTGTATATTATTGAACAAAGTACTTATACAATGGACTTAAAATCAAAGTGATGTAAGACAAGGTTTTGAGAATTTCAAAAGTATCAAGTACTTTTAAAAATATCAAATTATTTTATAAAAACTGGCAGTAGACCGATTTACGCTATTATAATTTTAGGCTTTCGATACTGGATTAACTCTTATAGAATAGCGATTTAATAAATAAAATTGTCAAGTAATTTCAAAAACAGAAACTTCTGTAACTAAGAAATCGAACAAATGAGAAAAATCAGATTTTAGTAACAGTATTAGTAGAATATTTCAATCTTATCGATGGTCCAATCGCGAACCAGTCGATGAAATTACCACGAAGTCGGAGTCGTTGAAGCTGTAGATGACATTCCAGCCCAATTGCTGGAACTTTTTACGCTCGAGGAGAATCGCGTGGAAGAATACCAGGGCGAACAGAAGCTTCTTGTATTTGGACTTTGCTTGGCACAATTCGAACTGGGTCTCGGTTATTAAGCTGTAAAGTCGTTTCATGTTTGCCTTTAAACCTTTCGGTGGTTCCGTGGTCATCTTTATACCCGCCTGCAGGATCGATATAGGGAATTGGGGACTTGGACTCGAGCTAAGCCACAATCTGCAATCGATTCGAGACCCTTTCATTATCAACTCAAGCGACACTTGCGATCAAACGCGAACCTGAATTGCGGGTGTATTATGGTTTTACTGGCCCCTAAAGTCTCCACAATCTTGTCCAATTTCGGCATCCAACTTAGCGATAAGTGACAATTCGCTAGGAACACCCAAGCCCCCTCTTTTGCACCTACTTCTATCATTCTGCAAGTAGATTTTTGTGAAATTTTTTGTTATTAAATGATACTATTATTAAATTTAGTATTAAAATTGATATTGTTACTAAGTTTAAAGTATAAAACTTGTACCAAAGAAAACAAAGTGGAAATCATGTAAGAAATGAGTCTTCTTCTATATATTCATGCTTTATAAAATTTTATTTCTTATGAATACGATAGTTAAATTCCTATTATTCCTGAAATATAATATCGTTCGATTAATTCGGATTTTTTTTTCAAGTACATTAATCTACAGAATGACATGTTCCTTAAAAGTCTAAAATTCTACTTTCTTTTGTATAAAACCGACCTAGTGGCAATGGGCGCCTGTCCTTGACCCAGAGACAGAGTCATAAAGTGGTTAGTCATTTCCTGGCTGTCGACTAGTTGCATCAGGGTGCTCGTAGGATCCACGCCGGGCGAGAGGACGAATATAAGCGGAGTCTGTGCTACGGAATCGTCGAGCACTGCCTTCAGGTCGAGTACCGGTGGCTCGACGAACCTTTGACCGAGATTTAGCACGATGAAGTTCGCGATACAGAAGGAAATTCTGTCAGGACGGCAGCTACGTATTACTAGCATCTTCTGAAACACGTTGCAATTCGTCTCCCACTCTGCTACTAGGGGTGTGTTTTCTGGTTCCGTGTTAACGTACCTAAATATTATTTGATTTTTATTTTATAAAAATATAAATTTTTAAATGGTGACTTTTAGACGATTTACCAATCATGTGGTTTCGTATTAATATACCTAAATATTATTCAATTTATAAAATTATTATAACATTTTATAACATTAAATAAAATTATAATTAATATTTCACAAAAATAATAAATCGGACTGTTTGATATAACAATTTACAGGAAACGCACCAATTATGCCAATCTCGTGGGAACTGTTCAAACGAAGAAACAATTCCATGAAATCCAGCCAGCTTATCGAGTTCTGTGATATTATCCCAAGTTTCATCGGGCAACCAGCCAATCGGCTTATCTGGCTGATTCTCTCTGTCCAGAACGATTCCACCACGCAGCAAGAACGCATACTCGTTAGGAATCACCTTATCTTGTGCGTCCAAGATCTTCATACACATGTTAAAGGAAAAGAGTAATTTGTGTTGTTCGAAGAGACCTCGACACGTGTTCCTGATTCAACGAGAGTTGTCTTTGAGTGGTAATAGCGCAATATAAAATCAACATTTTTATACCTAAATTTATTTCATCGTTTTGATTTTTGCGATCGAGCCTATGAACGTTACTCACATATTTCGTGACATTCTGTATAGGGCTATACGTACTTGTACAATGCATAAGTGTGATATTCGTTTAGATTCTCGATTCTTTCAGGGAGCTTTATACTTTTCGCACTCTTGTCGATCGACAGCATAAACAAGGTAATATATGCGTCCAAGGCGAATTGGTACATCGGATCAATAAAACTCATGTCGTTCAAGACGAAGAAGAGGATCGCGGCACGATGTGCACAGGACCTGTATTCTTCTCTGGCAAGGTCTATCTCCTTCTCTGTTTGTTCAGACACTACCAACGATTCCTCGATAGAGGTCGAGGTCGCCTTTGACGATTGCAACGTGCTCAGTAAATCCAGGTCGTCCAGTAGAGTGTCTCCGGCCACGTTCAGTAGACTGTATGAAATCACAGCACATATAAATACCATAAGCTTCCTTAACTCTTTGGAAGTTGTGAAATCTTTTTATGTCCTTAGATATATATATCGTAAAAGTTGCTGACAAAGAACAGCTGTGGTATGAAGACCACAAAGACAGTCGTAATATCCTGTTACACTGTTAATTCTGATCATTGTAGTTAGATGTATCCGTAATTCTGTAATTGAAACATATCTTGTTAAAAACGAGCAAGTGTTTGGTAATGCTTCTCAATAGTATCATGTATCCATTCGCAAAGATCGATGCTGCGATATAAAGATATAGATTTAAAAACATTTTTTCAAGTATACCGTGATCTTTGACCCAACTGTTAGTTCTGCAACTTCCACAGGGTTAACTCTCGTGTTACGTGCGCTTTATTTCCAACGTATTATTATCATGTTACAGAGGAAGGGATCAAAAGAAGCAAAGGATATCTTACTGGAGTATTTTGTCTTCGAGTTCTTTGAGAGTTCGTTTATTGGACGAGATCGTGAAGACCAGATTGTCCTTCTGTTCTTCGAGCTGCGGCTTCTCTTTTCTGACCACGATTCCCAAGAGCTGGTCTTCCAGTCCTGCGCACAGGATAATAAGGTTCTAGACTTTGTCTCCTCTGGCTACCTCTTTCTCTACCGCCCTCTCGATCTAGTTCGCTTCCCGTTCATCCTTCTCTCTGTGTCCATCTTTTTCGCTCTCTATTATCTACCCTTTTCCAACTGACGCACGATAAGACAATTAGTTACCCTGTTCCTTAATGGCGAAGTTGCATAACGTCGTTTTAGTGGATATCTCCGGGGCGTAATGGGGGTTCGCGAGTTTCGTCGTGATGAAGAGCCGGAACTTGTCGTGGTAGCTGATCATCTTTTCGTTGAACTTGATCATCATCTGGTTCTCTGTACAGTCAGAGAACACGTACTGTAGATGGACGCGATTTAGCGTTGGAAGGTAAAGTTTACACGTTTCGAGTGCCAAAATATGCAATTGGGGAGGCCTTTAGAGGGATAAGGACTTTCAATTCGGAATTATCTCTTCCTGTTGCTCTCTAAAGTATACGTATTAATTTTTGACATACAGCAACTTTCATTAATACGGAAGCTGTTATTAATTTATTAAGAAAAAAGTAATAGGGATTAATATCATATATACGGATTTAATAAAAGGTTATAAACAGAATATTTATTTGTAAATTATCATTGCAGAATTTAAATCTTCTCTATAAGACGAAAACGATTCTGAATACAGCCATTATACACAGAGCGCAGCGTTTTTATTGAATTTACGTTTAACTGCAAAGACAATGAGTCTTTGATGCTTCTTCCATTTGAATTGCTATTGAACTCCAATAATTTCATGATACTTTTACATACCTATTTTCACTATTGCTCGTTCAAGGATCGGGTTCAATACCGGATCGATCGTTTCACCGATATTTTCTAGTAGAACTGGTTTACCATATTGGATCGCGTATTCTAATACTCTGACGAAGTCTGGTTGGCCGAAATCGATCACTTTTAGAGACTACGACCGCGAAAAGATCGAAGAGATTTCGCTTAAGAATGTTCGTGTAATTAAGATTCTTTTTTAATTTGTTTGTTTCCTAGATTGGATCGCAGATGCTTACGTTCTTGGCCTCCATATTTTTCAGCCATTTCACTGCTTGGCATTGTGGATCGATTACTAATGGCCACCTTGTACCTCTGACCACAATGATACCGTTCTCAGTACTAAAATCATCGGATGGTAATCCTTGCATGTTCCAGTCTCTGATGACAGCAGGGTCGGCCAGGAATTGTTTCACATCGAGCTGGGGTGACGTTGGAACTTCTTTTTCTTGCACCTTCGAGTTCGTTTGCGGACACCATTGGAAATTAGAGAACAAAAACATCGATACATTTTGTTTATTAAATTTTATATCTTTTATATATTTATATAAAATATAATTTTATATATTTTTATAATTTTATATATTTATATAAAACTATTTTGCAATCATCCTTCTGGAAGAATGATAATCATATCTAAATAAAACTTTATATTAAAAGAGCTGGTATGGTTATTTTCACAACTGCACGGCAACATATATGATACACAATATCTAACCATCTTGGATTTAAACGGACGCGGAAGGTTTTCTGCCCTCTTGGACACATTCGCGAATTATGACGATTACTTTCGACCATTACGATGGAATCACTTAACTCACCTCTTTCATCCAGATGTTTATCAGTTCCTCTCTGTAATTGGATACGAACGGGCCCAAATAGGACACAAAGGCGGTGGATATTAGGCAATCACCTGGCAACCAGTCAAAGAACTCGGCCAGCGAAGCAACCGTGTTCTCCCATCGAATTCGCTCGCCTGAGAGACCGTCGACTAGCATCGCGGCTCGCTCCAGTTTCAACTTTAGTAGTTCCGCCTGAAAACACGCGGAACTGAAAGTAGAATCGAGTCAGCATAGTTGAAATTTAGTCGTTGGCTCGTTCGTGAAATAAGACCACCAGATCAGCTGTGATCGTTCGAGTACACCCTATCGATTCGACTTTCGTTGTGGAATTCTGGTCAGAGCTGAAAGAGCCGCAGAGTTATTTCGTTGGAAAATATATTTAAAATAGGATCGGAGAAGTAAATTGAATTCTTACCGAATTAGAAAGAAATAGAATAGCGCGAATGAAATTTAAAGCAGATATGTAATATTACAAAGCTTTCATTTTGCCAGTCAACCTTTAACTACGATATGACTCGTTATCGCAAGATATCGAAAGAAATTTTGAACCGCGAAAGAGCCGCAAACATGTAAGACAAATATCAGGGGAGGGACTTTCTCGGGTCAGGACCAAAAAGTAATTCGAAAATTCGCGTTGAACGCAGTCCGTGCAAATACGCGATGCTGATGATATCTGGTCTTTAAATAGCGAGCAAACGAAACTTTCTGCCAAAGCACAAATCCGTGCAAATAAAACTATATGGGAGAGGCACAGCCGAGGCCACTAAACGTTCATATAGTTTCAGTTTCGAGATGGGGATTCAAATCGAGACGATTATTCAGCTACTCGCCAGCTTAATTAACTCTTCTTTCTCCTTCATCTTCGCGTCGTACATCTCCTGCAGTTTCTTCAGCTTCTCTTGCAATTTCTGCAACTGTTTCATCGCTTCTTCTAACGCTTGTTCCTTCTCTTTGAGAGATTTCAACGCAGCCTGCAATTTTTCCCTCTTCGGTGCTACGATTCTGCGATTTCAATGGCGTATTTTTATCTCGTCTATCGCAATTTCTTTCATTTCCTCCGAACTGAGAATAGAAGAAGGAACTCTGTGTTTTAGAGCTTCTTCTGTTTCCACGCTTCTTAACCTCTTTGCAAATGCGTACTATTTACGAGGACATCAAAACGCGCATATACGGGCATACCAAGTAATCCAAACTAAACAAAGTATGCTCGATTTTAATAAATTGCTGCTCCACGAAAGATAGAAAATTTTATTCATCGTGAATTTCCCGTATATTCTCCGAAATATATCTATCTATTATCAGCTACCCTTCACGATACGCGTATCACTAGTTGAGAGCCGCTGTTCTATTCCCATTCGAAATATTAATCTTCAAGAGAGATAGATTACCTGTAAAGTTTCCCATATTCTTCCATGGCGATGACCCATATGCAGAGTGATTTGGCTGCCACAGATACCAAACCTACTTTTTCTGGCTCAAATTCCGGGTTTGACGTGTACCTGCTAATTTGTCGAAGTGTCCTGTCGGAGATGTTGTCTTTGTCGAAATCTCGCAGCTAAAAATTAATATGCAGACGCAGAATATTCCGTGAAATTTTGTTTGGAATAGAAAGAGTAGGAAGAGGATCGTTGGTCTGTGTGCTTTTCCTTACCGTGTTGAGGAAGTTCACGTCGGCTAGTTGACGCTTCGACTCCGTCCAACTCGGTTCCGAGGTTTTCAGGATCATCACCGCCTCCATTACCATCTCCACTTTCGGTGGCGGACGCGTGAAAGATCTTATCTCCGCGATATCCTTCTTGCTCAGCGCGTCCAGGGCCTGTGTTACGGATAACAATTGATAGGGTGAGATACGAGGCCAGTATCGTACCGATAAATTCGACTATACATATGGATGAATGCGATTTCGAAGGCAGAACTCGTACGTATTGTGATAAGGGATTCGAATGGGAACAATCGAAATTTTACTTTGTACAGCGTGTACAACAGCCGGCGAAATTATTCTTACTACAGTTTAATTACTACATTTAACTAATATATGTTTGGAAATTCCATCTCTAATCGAATTGAAGTTTCCAATTTTCCCTCAACTAGTTGAAATACTGTTATACGGGTCACGATCGATGATCGATCGAACGACGAAGCCGAGAGCTGCGTCGCCGCCATACATCCTCCAGGATTTTTCTTAACAAAGCAGTCCATGGAACGAATTTATGTAACACGTCCGGTGTTACTGTCGTCTATAAAACGTACCGACGAACTTTGGCGAGAAACTTTTTCGGACGGCGTGCATAAAACGCGAAGTTGAAGGAACCGAGCGGTCGTCGCGAGCAGGGAAAAGTCGGCTGCAAATAATAAGGACGTATACCGGGGTCCGCCATCGAATTCACCATTTTACCGAATATTCGAGGCGTAACACCGTTCGATTCACGGCGAAGTAGCGCGCTGCTTAATCACCAGTAGCAAACGAACCGGAACGATATTACCGAGACGATAGAAGAATTAATGTTGGGGAAGGTACCTTCATGGCCTCGTTCAGAGCTGGTTCAACAGTTGCGAGATCAGCTCGAGCGATTTCTTCGAGCTTTTTGCACTCCTTTTGTTCTTCACCGATCCGCTGCGATCGCGCGGCCACTGTCTTCTGTGTCTCGTCCGCGTCGCGACGCTGATTCACTATTAAATCACGTGATAATTGGAACAGAGACGGATTTCCCAGCTTTAAGTATATTCTGAGTATTTTAAATATTTTAAGCGATAGAATTTTTATTATTAAATCACAATATATATAGTGTTAAGGTTTTATGTTTCTGAAAGGAAGATTAGCACGAGTGAATTATTACGTAAGTCAAGATCACGCGAATTTTCCTTGGATTGATCTAATTGCACTTAATGACGATACATCAGCGTTAAGAGGATGACACGTACCGATCGTTACCAGAAACTCTTCGCATTCCCTGGTAGATTTATGAACCTGCTCCTGTGTGACTTCCAGTTCCGTAGCCATTTCGTTCACTTTAACGCGGGTGTCGTCGATCTTCGAGAGACCGTTGCGAAGTTTGTTCGCCTGGATCGCCAAGTCCTCTCTCTTCTCCGCCAGCATTCTGAAACCGAGGGTCATCCAACTGACATGACGTGTCGTTTACCTTGCTGCCTTCCGTTTTCAAGTTATTTTCCATTTTTATACAAGTTTTATTAAATCACGTGCATCTTCAAAAAATATTTTTAAATAATTGCGACGAGAAGAAGAATGTTTCAAATAATATCTACGAGTGTTTACTACGCAGAAAATTACAGAACTTTACCAATATTATTACAAAGATTTTTGTGGTCTCACTTTCCAAGGAGATTCGTGAATTTTTCAACGAAAACCCTTGTTAAAGAGATTTTGTTGGCTAGCGTGGCAGAGACTCACGTTTTATAGCCAGCAACTAGTTCGAGGAAATTCACTGGTGTCACGTAATTGTAGCGCTTCATCTCAGCAGCCATTCTGCTGGAAAACTCTGACACGGTCTTATGGATCAGAGAGAAAATAGCCGCGATTCCATCCCGCATTCGCTCTTGAAGCGGTGGCAAAGGAATCGCTGTCGCCGATTGTCGAGGTTCCTGTAGAACATTTTGGTTTTACGATGTAAGCTCTAACATTGATCGTACAATTCATCAAATTTCCATTTAACCTCATAACTATGCTCATATGCTCAATATGCCTAAAAAAACACACGATACCAAGGAACAACATACAAATAAAGGAAAAAGAGCGAGGACAGAAAGACAGAATCTTTAAAGCGAAATGTTTAAAAATAAATATAATGTTCAAAATAATTAATAATAAATAATGTTTAAAAATAAATATACAAATAATTTGATAAATATTTAACTTGAAAGAGACTTAAAAACTACCAAGCAAGCAAATTACAACTAGAAGATGAGAACAAAGAGTAAGAGAAATCTGGGATTCCTGTCGCCGATGTTCCATGCTCGAACACTCGAAGGAGGATACATGATCGAGGCAAATTCAAAAATATTAAGCGCCTGGTTGCCGGAAACGCTTGGACGATTGCATTTCGGAAGGAAGTTTGCCAGACGGGGTGAGGGTGAGTTGTCGAGAGGAAAATAATCGGATTCCACGAAATGGAGAGGACGTGAATGTGGTTCACCCTTCCTTCTCTCTTTCTCTTTAGAGGCGGTGTCTCGATTCCGGAGAAATCGGAATCGAATGGAATCGATCGGCCGGAAAGGAGCGGTAGAAGGCGCAGTCGAAGACCAACCGCTTTATTTTCGCCGGTGATAGTGAGCGTCAGATTGAGATTCATGAGGAACTTGTTGCCAACTTCGAGGAGGGCTTCCCTTGGCCATTCCAGGAACCAATCGATGGTCGTGCAGTTGATCAGGCTCGGGTACTGGCGTAATCTGTTTCTGAACGCGTCTCCGATCGGGCTCATGCATACCACCAAGTGCATATTGGCACGCGCCCGCTCGATCAACAACGAATAGATCGCTTCTGTCGTTGGTACTCGCCCAGCACGTATTACTTCCTTTGTCAGTTTCTTTTTAATCTATCGCACAGAAGGACAGGAAGAATTTATGCATGTACAAGTCTTTCGATTCGTTTTAGATCCATAATCAAGAATTTCATTATGGAAAATAGATATCGCAAATGAAATTCGATAGGAAGGAATAGGAAGTGGATGAAATTTAGTATCGGCAGGAAACATACTTCTTCTATTTCATCACTCTTGTAGAGATTGGCCACTTCTCCCGTGCTCAGTATACTGTTTATTACTTCTAGAAATTGCTCCTCGGTCACTTGCGTGTCGTTGAAGAGGAACGTCGTGGGTTTCTCTTCCACGCCTGTTTTTGAGTATAGGACCTTCAGGTCTTCGCGGAATTCGGGTAGTTTGTAGTTTTTTGTAACACAGATCTGGAAGGTGGCCAGTTCGCATATGTAGCTCGCGATTCGGGATAAAGATTGTCTTCCGCTTCCGCCGATCCCTATTAGCAGCATGTTACCACGGGGCTGCCGAAGGATATTTCATATCATTTTCTATCGTGATAATTTCATTGTTATCCTTTATTTTTGAAAATAATCATTTGTATCACGAATTTAATCAAATCGATTTCCACGTGACCTAATGCATTTTTTTAATTAGCTTAACTAGTTTTATTATTCTAGATTTATAAGAATCGTTACTGACTTGAGAGATCACGCGAACTATACGGCAGATGTGTTCAATCGCGTCATGGAAAAGAACTAAATTCATGCGAACCACGCCACTGGAAGCGTTATATTCGTCCATTTGATTCTCTATATACGTCCTTACGGCAGTAAGGTTCGTAAGGTCCTCGTATATGTCCCAAACGTTCATGAAACTACCTGCGAGTGTCGTGGATTAAGTCTGGATTAGATTCGAGTTACATTCGAATAAACTGACTTAGGTTTAACCCAAGTTAGACCTGGATTACACGGAGCTAGGGTTAAATAGTGGCCAGATTAAGTTCAACTTAGGAATACTTCGGTATCTTTCTTCAGAATTCATTAAGGATCACACCGCACTAACGCAACATTTCATTTGCAACTTTTTTTTACAATCAATTTACATTCAAGAATCAAGTTCTATTTTTTAACATTGTGCCTGTGAGAGGAAATTCCAAGGATTCCCATAATACCTCTCTCATTAAATAAACTATCGTTCTGCCCTTGATGGGTCAATTCAACTTACCAAATAAGGGACATCGTTTTTCGGGGCAGATATTCTGGAAAGTCAATTCAAAGTGTTTCCCAAGTTGTTCGCCAATTTGATCTACGAACCATTCTCTGTCTCTGAAGAAGAAAAAGATTCGTTTCTGCGAGAAAGTGTTTGGGAAGATTTTTTGAGATTCGCTTACTTTTCGTCGATCAATCGATCGGAGAAGACTCTGAACGTCTCATGCACCCATAGACGAAGGAAGGTTTGTCTGGAAAATTGGTAATCCTTATGACTTCGTAGCAGACCTTGGAAAACCTGTTTGGCAAAGATATCGAAGGTCGAGTCATCGAGAAAATACAGGACCCAAAGTAACGCTTCTACCTTCGATATGTCCCTTAGATTGAACAGATAGTGTATCTTCGCTGGCGTGGGCAACATCTTGCTGATCACTTTGTTATACAAGCCGATGGTGGAAAGTGTTATTTCGTTGGCTAATTAAGAGGAACAATCTTTGTTTAATTCCTTACTTACGGTAGTTTTAAATTAAAAATGGAACATCTTTTTCAATAAGGACATCATAAGACGAAATGATACGTCTACTAACATATTCCCTTCACTTCCGCATGGAATTCACCAAAATGTTGATTCAACATCGACCCATATATTCTGATGATTTGCTTCTCGACCGGGAACGTCATATTAATTACGTTAAACTTTGTCAATAAGCGATTCGTAATAACGTTCCGACCTCCACCGGGGGGACCCATGGCCGCCATTAATTGTAATTTCTGTATAAATTTCTGTGTTTGTTTCTCTCGATCGTACCTTGACACATTCATCAAATAATATTATGTAATGAAATATTATGAGCTCAATTGTTAAAATTAACGAGATTGTACCAGAAACCGTATCCTATCCACTGCCGAATTAATTCCAATGGCGGCTGCGAGCCGTATATCTCTTTCATAGGCATGTTAAAGTCGTCCATAAAGGTGATCAGAGTTTTACCGCCTGCAGGAATGTACACACGTATGGTCCGTTTCTCGAGTCTGCTCTCAATTGTGTCCTAAAACGCGCGAAACTTCGCCAACTTGTTCCGATGCAAATACATCGTTTGCATTCCTTAACGAGCGAATCTTTCGTAGGAAATCGCAGGTTTACCTGTACGTTCTTCGAATTCGTCTGGGCGGACATGTTCAGAGTCAGCACGCTGTATTTCTCCTCGTCTAGGAAGTTTAATACCGACTGCAGTATCGACGTCTTTCCAGTGCCTACGGGACCTACTATAAGAACTGGGAATTGGTTCTTTAGCAGCGAGTTCACGATGAACTCGTATCGAACTGTGTCTACGGTCGGCACTACTATCTTGTAGAACGGCATCCTGGTATGTCGAATTATTCATAGTTATTTTATTCGTTTTACTTTAATATCTTTATTTCGAAAAATATACGGTGATTTTAATTTTCTTTTTCAGAGAAATAAAATTTTTTTGGTATACGATAGTGTAATACAGGGGCACAAATAGAAACATACACTTTCGTTGGAAAGTCTTAGAAGAACCAATAAAGTCTTGGAAAGATAATAAAATGTAAATTGTTTAAAATTACCTTGACTGGATTCTCCATACCGGAGGCAATCTTTCTTCCCAGGAAACGAACGATCGTAGTCGAGAGTCTACAAAGTATTCGTATACAGTGTCTCGCAGTGGGAACGTGCCTTCAATCTCTCGTATGAAATTGTCCACCTTAAATCTACCCTCCTCGTTAACCGACGCACAAATAGACCATATCAAACTAACACAAAATCAAGTCTCTGTAAAATTAGATCTAAAAATTGCGTCTTCTGGATGTGAGATCTTTTTTGAAAAATTATACCAGAAGAAGAACCACATTCTGCAAATATTGGCAAACATGTCTACGTCTCCCGTGAACTCAACCCCATTTTCAGCGGTGGCAAGCACTTCTAGAAGCTTGCATAATGATTGAACGGCGTTTAGTTCGGGAACTGGGACAAGATCCTCGCATTTTCGTCGTTTAAATTCTAAAGTATCGTTCACGTGGGCACTGAACAATTTTTTCATCTGCAGTATATATTTCACTTTAGTTGTCGTATCGATTTCACATCTCTAATTTGACTTTTTCTATCAAAGTTTGTAATAAGACTAGGCGACTTACTTCTTCCACGAATTCTGTCTGTCGTTGAAACTTCTGAAGCCAGCTGTGCATGTAAGGTGTCCAACCAAGGTCTTTGTAATCGTTATATACCATTCCAGCCCGCGAAACCGTCGCTGGAGAGGCGACAGCGAGGTCTTGGACCTCGAATAATAGCAATACTTGATTCGGCAAAGTGATTCGATCGTTATTTATAAGAGTTAAAACCTATAGACACGTTTATTTCGTAATAACTTATACAATTTAGTAATAATTGTTAACTTATTACTTGTAAGTTTAAAAAAACAGAATTATAAACTTCTAGACCCCTCCCTTTAAATATAAATTTTCTTCTATTTGAAAGTTATTAACTAAGAGAAATTCTCTAAATAATATCTGGATTTTTCGAGAGAGTAAAGCTTTCAGGACGCGTACCTTGTTATCGTCCATTACGCTGTTCATGTTCTCGATCCAGTCAGCGTCCACTGGACCGTCAAAGAGGATCCATTTCGTGTCAGGGCTATCGTCTGTCAAAAGTAACGAGACTCTGTCGACTTTGTCCAATTTGCCGCGACCAAACCGTGGTAGCCAAAAAATATAAAGAATTCTGTGTACCGGAACAGGTTTTTCGCATGATCGAGGATATAACGCCATCGTGCCATTCGCCAGTGGTGAGATTGTATTCGCCGTAAAGTTCAGCGAGGCTCAACGCCTTTGGATTAATGGGATAGACATGAACGGCGGTGTATCCTGGTTTCTTGTCGTTCTTCATGCTCGTCATCGCGTGCTGTAACACCTTCCATGTAACCGTCTTCGCTGTGTTCGACTCGCCCACTATCATCGTCGAGTGCCTCGAATTCATCGTCTCGTACAGCTCGATAACTTTCGTCAGTATCAGGGGAATAGGCTGTAAACAATGTTAGCTGTGCAAACTGGCGCGCGTGCACTTCCAGAAGTTCACGCAGCCTCCTAGATTGCGACGTTAATGGCGTCTGAAGACGATCGACTGAAATTCGGGACCGAATTGAAATACCAGTTGATTTTCGCCCGCTTTGACAGTCCAATTAAGGGTAATCGAACCTTTAGCGCGAAATATATTTTTAAAATTAAATTGAGGAGGAATAAATGCATATATACAGGCGCGTTGATCGTGTTCCTTGTTATAGCTGCTATAGAATTTTACGACACGATAAAATTCGTTTTTAAAAGTTAACGTGCAATGAAAAAATCGATATCTGTAAGGACGTATGGAGCAGTTTTGTAATTTATAGAGTACATTATTCTCAGCTCGAATCTTTGGATTCTGATTGTTAGCGTGCAATATGCAAGTACTAAAGATTACTATTTTGACGAACATGGTAATATTTCCTCGATCGAAGGTTCTTTTATTAAAAAATAAACGCCTGTAAAGATCAGCACGTCGTTCTGCGTTCGATGTAAGGGGCTGAGATGTTCGAGATTACCTGAAGCTTCAGTTTGATGGCCTCCTTGGTTATGTAACCGATAATTTCGCTGTAATCCACCGCTGGTATCTCCGCATCGGGGAAGAGATCGCTGGTGATACCAAGGAACAACGGTAAGTCGTCCGAGGTGAGTTTAGCAATGTTCATATCCTTCATGGCAAGAATGATCACCTGTGCGCGATTCACCATATATTTTCATCGTTCCCTCGTTTTACCGATCACGTAACGTCTAATGCCGGATCGAACGATCGCGCCACGTTTATCGCGGTAAAGCGACCGGATAAACGTAGTCGCGTAAGTCTCGAATCTATCTCGAACACGGTGTGTGGCGACAGAGTAGAAACTGTTTTAGAGAGAGGAGTGTAAACAAAGTGGTAATCGAGAGAAAAATGGCAAAGTAAAGATATAAGCGGCGGGGATTGACTGTAGCGTAAAACGATGAAAGGCTGAGGCGATGGAAAATTGGATTTTTCTGTCCTTATATGGTTTTGTTGTTGTAAAGAAAAGAACGAAAAAAGGGAATGGTTAAGCTATCGTTACAGTGGTTTCGTGTTCTGACGAACTCTAACGAATGAAGCATCTGAAGATTAAAATACATACATATACTAATAAGAATTTGAATTGTTATTGAATTATATATGCAAATTATTCATCAGAACACGTATTCTCTGCAATCTTACTTCCTCGTCTGGCAGATTCGGATAAAGCCTCTTCTTTTTTCCTGCGTATCTCGTTAAAGTCACTATTCCCCTCAAACCAAAGTCGTAATGAAATTGTTTGCTTAATTGTTGCTGAGCTAGCGTATATAACGTGAAAACCTGCAAAGAAGAAAGTAGAAAAAGGAAAATGGATTAATTCGAGTCTCATAAAAGGATATATTTCACGGAAGGACTGTACGAACCTTCTTGGCGAGAATTCGCGTCTGTTCGAAACCCTCGCAGAACAAATTGATCTCGGCGATCATGCCGCTGTCAGGCACCATCATTGAAATTGGCCTGAACATGGATTTCAGATTATCAGGCAGTTCAGTGCGACCTGCGTAACCTGGATTCATCGTGATGAAGACGCCGCAGGTGTGCACCAGCGATATTTCATAGCCTTCGAACACGAACCTGGTGAGTTTCTGCGAGAGCGCAGAGAGAATCGAGAGTATCTGTTGTGCAACCACCGATAACACCTCGATGTTTATGCTATCGTGGAGAAAACGAATTCAATTGTAGTGGCCATCAAGTGTCATTGCACGAATGTCAAACAACATCGAAACCAGCGAAATGTAGTTTTGGCAAAGTCAATGTTTCGAAAACACAACTATTTTCAAGATGACATAGTATTGCGTGGATATAACGAGAGGGCATAGGAAACCAATATAAAGAAACTGGATGATCTTTCTCGTTTACCGATTAAATTCATCGAAGCAACCCCATGCGCCGGTCTGAGCCAGTCCAGAGAATAATCTGCCCATGCTTTTGTAATCCAGCCCCTCGGAGCAGTTCTGCACGATCACATTGAATCCCAGTGCTTTTCCTAGATCCTTCACGGTCTCGGTTTTCCCTGTACCAGCCGGTCCCTTGGGGCTGCCACCACGATACAAGTGTAGAGCTGTGGTGAGAGTTATGTAGCACCTACCATCGAAATAGTATTATTCTCAAAGGGTTGCTATTAATTTATTATGACAGTTATTAGATCGAGTCGATAATTCAAATCGTATCATGTTTCACATTATAACCATATTAAGCATGGCGCATACAACATTAAACTTGCTTTAACATTAAACAGAGTATAATCTGTATACCTTAGTAGCCTCTTCGTTTTTACAGTTTTACAATCTTGCGTGAAATAAGATAGTTGAAGAATTTATAATAAATATTCGGCAAAACGAGCCAAAAATTCCAGACATTATAGCATCTCCGATCTCTCGTTGAACGTTTCTACAAATTCGAACACGCAGCGATTCATCGTTTAATCCGTTTCTAGAGTAAGGGGCGAGTCGACGACGGCTGCAAGGGTGGGACGCGACGTACTACTACGAGGAATCGTGCTTCTCGGAGGGCGCGTTGCGTTCTTCTTTCCGCAAGACAAATTCTCGGAACCGGAGAACAAATGTATCGGGACGGCCGGCCCTGTCCATAAATTAGAGCCGAGCGGCTCGAACCCTTTTATCGCGATTAAATCGATACCGCGTTAAGTATCCTCTCTGAGCTGGCGTTGCTGTCCTCCAAACCCCTCGATCCGTTTCCTTTGATGTCCCTTGTCGTGCAAACTGCTCTTCCCTCTCGATAACAACCACCATGAGAGATTGTATCGCATCCTGTCCTAACTGACGTATATTACGCGGTTCTGTACACAAGCTGAGCTTATGTCCGCATTGCTGGACCAAGGAAATTGCGTTTGGAGATCCGTAGGATTTTGTCGTTTTCTCTACTTTTCGTCTGGCAACGATAGACTCCAGATGTAATTCATATACTACATGTAAAATCGTTGAGATCATGTGTTGTTTTGTCAAACATTTCAACCTAATTCAACGCACATCCTCTAGCACAAGCTTTTAAAAATTCTACCATTTTTACTTTTTACTTACTTGTCATTTCTAGTTTTTAGCAATCGTTTTAACGGTTATTTCTCACAGTGGTGGATTGTTCTTCGAGCTAATTAGTTTTATTAATTGGCACACTACGTGCAAACGCTAACCAACCTTGAACGATCACAGTATTCGATCAACTACGAGAAATAAACAATGAGAATAAACGATAGCAACATATTAATACAATCGATATCGAAAACGGCGGAAAGGACACGAATTTGTTAAAAAGTCAATGATCGTTTTGATGTTTGTCGAGAGGGTAAGGAGGGTGGTTTAAGTTGCGAAACGTTCTCGAAAGGGTGTAATCAACATTAATCAACGATGGTTCTTGGACTCAAGACGACGAGTATGATCCTCGAAAGTTCGCGAAACTTCGTGGACATTCGCGAAGAAACGTTCAAGCGACAAATTTTCACCGGGGGAACATCAGCGGAGATGTAATTAACGTTAATCAACGAGATTCTCGCAACCCCGTAGAAGAGAAGAGACGAGCTCTTTGGATTTTAATGTAAGTTCATCAATTATGAGAGAAAACTCGGATGTCAGCGTTCGATCAGAGAACGACACATGCGAAACAGTCACTAAAAACGAATTACCTTCAACGAGTCGGAGACGCTTGTCTCCATAGTTTCGTTAATTTTCCTCCTAATAGACGATAATAGTAACGAAATTTTATTGCACGAGGCTTTCAGATTGTTTAAATATCTTCATTTAGCGATCCTTATTTTAAGTATTGTAGAATCAGTGGAACAGGACGAAGCGAATGACTTTGCGTATTCCACATATTGGTGGGATGAATTTTTAGAGAATTTCCTTGGATAAAGAAATTACTATATCCGCGAGATTGCCAATCTGATTAGTTAGCAACTCTTCTCCGTTTAATAGTTTGAGATAGAGATCAATGGCGACTTCAGGTGAACAAAACCTCATATTGCGAGTAGCTGAAGTTTCAAGCAATTTAGTCCCGAATTGCAGTCGATGTCATGTATGCTTTGTTTCATTACGTCTAACGAAGTTAATATTTCGAGGACGAGGGTAATAGAGTGCGAGTCACCGCGAGATTGCGCGTAATTGTAAGCTCGCACGCCATCGGTAATCGTCGCGACTTCTGACCTAATTATCCCATATTATAGCACCGACTCGCGTGTAATAGCCTCCCGAATGGTTCACGCATTCGTAATCGCTTTCACGCGTCATCCTCTTTCCTGTTGCCAATCGTGATGACGAGTAGCTTGTAAGTTTCCGCCTCGAGAAAAGGGTTGTTCTTAGAAGCGGTATTTGAACTGATGCGTTTTGTGTTAAATTAGGGTCGAATTTTGATATATCGATAATATGCATATCTTGTTTTTGTAGAAAGTTAAAATAAATAAATTCTGTTGCAGGTACTACACTTAAGACTATTATTATATGATTTAGATTTCCAGCATAATAACACCGATTTGTTAAATACTTATTTTCTTTTCCCAAACGATTCGTTTCTTTATCCAATGCTATTCTTTTTTTTTTTACCATAAATCGCAGGAAATTGAATATCTTACCTATCGGTGAGCGGCGTTATCACCAAACGTCCCGTGTTTCCAAGATACTCGTATCCGTAGACAAAATACGTGTTCGTCTGCCAGACGATACAATCGTCGATATCTTTGTCCCAGTAGAATCTCAGCTGTGACAGCCATTCGAAGGCGGACACGTCTCTGCAGTCTGTAAACGAGGTCGAAAATCGGCTTTGCAACGAAAACGTATTTTCGACAATCCTGTTCGAATCGCGTCGTGCGTGATGAAACATCGAAATCAGTCGACCCCTCGTATATTAGTTTAATTCACGAAATCGCATTAATTGGCGACGCGTCCCCGGATAAATCGTTGACGCGCGAATTTACGGAATACATTGGACAAACGTTGCACCTGTTCACTTAGCAATATTTGCCGATGGCACGGGCTAAATTGTTTCCAGGGATACAAGGATAATACGCGCTCCAATCTATCTGGCTATTCATCTATTTTCGACTCGATACAGCCCAATGAATTTACGAGATTCTGGGGGACAGACGACCATCCGTTGAAAACCGTGTTGTCGTTCTAATGTTCTAACGCGAATATGACATCGTGAAAAAGTCTTAAGCTATACAACAAAAGGGAACGTTTGTTAAAATATTATTCTGATACTGTTTGATATAGCTGTTTGTGATATGCTGTTTTTAAGAAGAGTTTGACCAAGGACAACAAGAAAGCAAAAAGGATACAAGATTTGGTTAGATTGGAAGTTAACTGGATTGGAAATTGGATAGATCACTTACTAGCTCGGTACATTTTCTCGATAACGTCTCTCGCGTGGATCTCAATCACCGCGATCGCCTTGAACTTTAATCGTTGAAGATGGGTCAGTTCGCCTCTGATCGCTTCCGTATACTTGCTTAATGCCTGGTTCTGTCGTTTTCGTAGCTTTTTCAGCGGCCTTCTCGAGTCCACCATCCTTGAAATACGTTTATTACCCGTTATTAGTAAATTCAAGCGAAACCCTTTTTCTCTTATCGTTACAACATCGCATACTTCTAATCTATCTAACGTTCGTTCTACGCAACCCATAAAATCGTTCGTAAAAAAAACTCAGACTATCCAAAAAAGAAAAGAGTCATTAATTATCCTCGTCAGACAGTATCACCTCTCCGCATCTACATTTAGCCTTCTACCAGTAAAGCGTCGTAGCTGAAGGAAATTTTTTCCCCTCGCAAGCGGCATAATCAGCCTCTTTGTCCGACACCTTTGTATCCCTTTATTTCTTTCAACGAGAGTAACATCCCCGTGGCCAACGAGAAGGTTCTGGGTGCACCCAGACCCGGATAGCTGTTCTACCCGCGGACGAACGTTGGAACAGGGTCCCGGGACGTAGGGATTTCCTTCTCCACCGTTGGGTGTGGGTTAAATTATTCGCAGTACGGCTAGTATATGCAAACGAGGGAGGAAGGGTGTTCAGCTAGGTCGGTGTGACTGTGGATCGTAACACGGGAGCCGGAATATGCAAAATTCCCCTTATTAGAGTAACCGTGTCCCTTTATTCGCGAATCCAACCCCCGTATCTTTCACTTTTCCTCTGCCCGCGTCTTCGTTCTCCGTTCTTCCCTCGTTTAGTCTGTCTCCAACAGAGCAGAGGCAGCCTTGAAGCCGTTAGATTTGGTTTTCCTTCTGTTCTATCCCTTTATCTTTATCACCCCTTTTCCTCTCTTTTCAACCATACCCACCACCCCGTCAATTTCAGGTCCATCGTTCTGGTTACAGACTGCTGTAACCAACGTCGTCGCTAAATTTTCATCCAGAGCAGCATGTGTGAGGCTCACTTGCAGTGTTGAAGGGTACGGGTGCAGTCGGTCGTCCACTGGATCTGAGTGGACGTAATTCCAGGCTGGCTTGGCCACTCTTTCACCCACCTGTCGCGTTTCGCGGACATTTTTCGCAGCGCGCTACGACACTGCTTCAGCACCTCGCGCAGACTGGTCCTCATCGCGGTCTCTGCGAAATCGCCATTTTATTTTTTCTTTCATTTCTATGCCCTTTTTTCCCGTCGTTCCACTGCACGATCTACCCCTACCGCTGTCATTCCCGCGCTATGCCTTTCCATCCCATACAAATTGCGTGCCTTTCATGAAAAATTGTTGCCAAATGGCCCCTTGAAAACGCCGGATAAAAGCGCCCCGAACGATACCAGGCTGACCTTTTTTTTCATCGCCGGATGCACTCGTACAGTGCCAAATTTGATTTTCGAATGAGATGGATGATAGATGTTTGGGTCTTTTTACTTCCATACAGTTTGATTGTACGTAAAGTTGCTGCGTCATAGTTCCCATCGTTAAGATATTAATGGAGATAATTTTGAAACTGAGCTTTAGTTTATCAGTATTTTTTCAAACTGATTTTTATTGAAACATTTATCTATCATAAGAGAAACATCTTACCAACGTCGCAGAGCCATTTCTCGACCTGACCCTCCAGAACAACGGGCGCGTTAAAATCGATACATTCTCCTTCGTTAGAGTTCATCGCAATAGCCAAATTCTTTCCAATTATGGACTACAAAGTCACACGAAATATCATTAGGTATATTATAATATACAACGTAATAAAATAAATCTACTAGAATGTACGAGAAACGTTATGAATTTTTCAAACAGTCCAATACTTACAACGAAGACATTTTTAATGAGAAACACGTGTAATTCGACAGATAAATATCCATATATTTTTTTTTTAACAATGAATATAAATTCAACTAACAAGTTAAATTTACCTTAGTTGTGGTCAGAAATTTAATATTCTCGAAGAGCTTCTTAATATGTTGTTGTATCAGTTCGGGCCTCCTCGCATTCGCAAGGATCTCCAGTAGATCGTCGTTAGAAATGAAGTAAAACCTTGGAAACACGTGTCGTTTTGTTTCCAAGTACTGTTCCAGGGCACGTTGCATCGATTCGAGCTTGTCATTGAGTTTATTCAGAAGTTCCAGTAGACCAGCTACGAAGACAAGAGAGAAATTAGATGAGCCGAGTCGAAGGAAAAATGCAAATGCTTCCGGTGGACCAGATTTATATTATTTTATAGCGCGGTCTTCGTGTTGGTACGCGACTTTGCCCTCCCTTTTTTCCTTTTCACGTTCCAACAGACGACGACGACGACGACGACGACGACGATGACGACGTGTCGTACATTTTTCATTCTCCTTTTTCTTTCCTTGCGCTTGTTCAATTCGCCTGAATATTCCGAACAGCCTGTTCGAATTACAATGCATTACGCGCGTCTTATGTTTGTGGACGATTTTATTGGATACGCCTACTTTGTTTTTCTTTCGCTTATGTTCTTTCTTACAGCCGCTTAAGAAATTTTTCTTTAATTTTGTTTCATGATTTTCGTGAGTTAATTTTTTTAACCCTCCCAATTCCTTTCAGAAATACATTAAAATAAGTAAATATAAATAATTTACAACAAAGTGCGTTTTTAATTTTGTCGTTAAGTCGGATACGCAAAATTCGATAGGTGTATGTAGACTTTCGTCACTCACCGTATGCTCGTTTTCTCACAATACATACGTGGATTATGAGTGGCTTCTAATGCCAAACCGTAGGATGCCATCCGCGAAGTAATTGCGATCCACTGTCTTGTCAGTTTGTCGTATTCGCTGGTTTCCTTAGGGAGCTGTTTTCGGATGTCTTCCGTGGTGAATATGTTGTCCATGTACATGTAACCGCGCTGAATTAACAGGGTCGTTTCGAGAACCTCCCCGATGGTCGAAAGGGTTCTCTCCCAGTAATCAACTTCCTCGGCAAACGGTTCAACGAACCTGTAACACTTACACATAGTATCCCATCGAGTTTCCCTTGTAGCACGTCAGTTTATCAAACCTCGTTGCCTTCATGGCTGATAATTGAATTTGATGATCCTCCAAAGATTGCATTATTTCGTCGATAGATTTTATCCTGAATATCCCGCTGTCTTTGTAAGGAATCATCTCTAAAGGTATGTTTTTCCAGATCTCGGAAATATTTTTCAGGCCCTGATGAACATGAGACGGGATCCCTTTATCTACTTAGACATTCCTGAATTTTTCTTTTACGATATGTTATTCGAGATAAAGGTGTATTCAATTTATGATCGATTAAATATTTGTATATTTGCCTAACTTTTACTTTCTTACATCTAATATACCTTTTTCAACTTGTTACGCTTACGATTTCGATAGCTAATTCCATAGTAGCAGAGTTTGAGATATCGTCAATTTGGTCTGCATAATTTTGTAGCTCCATCTCCGCGATGGTATCGAGAGTGAAATCCTCAGATGTTTCGTCGAAATCACGATCTACAATTTCTTTGACTTTCGTCCAGTGTCTAGGCCTCATCGCTGGATTCTTTAGATTAGTAATTAATGGAAGGGTACGCCTGAATCTATCCACTCTCCCCCTAAAAAATTTGTTATTCCACACATTTTGTTATCAGAGTAAGATGTCAAGAAACAGCGGTCTTCAAAATTTTATATCATTAATGAAAATGTGATTTCAAGAGAAGCAGAAAATGACAGAATAGAACAGGATAATTTCTATTGTTGCCTCGAGTGTTCCACGATCTCCCAGTTCTTTTCTTTGAGCTCCCTGCTAAGACGATTCAGCTTCCTGAAAAGAATATTCGCGGTGTTCTCCATATCTTCCATTTCAATCTTCCAGAAATTCTGCGTCCTGTATTTTTCCCAAGCATCGTTCCATTCGCTAGTGATCTCCCATACCAATTGGATGGCGTTCATGTCCTATTAAAATAATTTTCGTGCGTTTATACGAAAAGAATGGCGAACGTTTATCATTTTACCTGCTCTAATTGTATCAGTTTGAAGGAATCTGGTTGATTGATGTCGAACACTAAAAGCTGCGTTTTCAGCTTGGATTCTCTCTTTTTCAGTGCCGAAATTTCCCGTTCCGTATAACTTATCCAGGCGAACGCATCTGTATTTTCGAAATTAGAATTAAGATGGAGTTAAACACAATTAAAAATTACGCGAAAGATATATGATGACGAATATGCGAGGTTTATTTAGATTACTAATTCAGATAACTGTCCAAGTTACGAATACGTTCACCTTGCGTCGTCCAAGCAGACGTGAATGGCCCAGTATCGAAAAATTTCGCCACTTGAGCTAATACTTCGTCTTCGAACATGAGGGCATCTTGCAATAGGATCTGTTTGAATTCCTCCTAAAATAAATAATTATACCATAAGAGTTTAATATATATATAAATAGAATATGCAGATATTTATGGAAATTTGTAAACATTTGTAAATTTATAAATCTCAAAATAATTTATAGACGAATACTTGCCTTCTTTGCCTTCAATGTCTCTCTGCATTCCTCAAGAAGAGCTAAATAGGCGGCCCAGGAAGGTTGTATGTCATGCAGTTTTCGCATGAAGTCGTACGTGAAGCTCACTTCGTACTTCTCTAGATCGAGAAAACGGAACGAATAGAAATTGCAAGGGAAAAAGAACAACACGTAACAATTAAGCCTATTGGGCGTTCCTCGATAAGAAGAACACTATTGATCTCACGGGCTATCGGTCTTGCCACTGCCCTTTTGCACAAGAAAATTAAGAATTGTTTGGAGGTTTACCCAAAGTTTCGTATTGATAACGGATCTTTGGGAATTCGCTTTCTTCTCGAGGAATATCGGCGTTCAGCTTCTCAAACAACTGCATCGTGTATTGCATGCTGATAAGATCCGTCGGCTCTTTCGTTATTCTGCGAATGAATAAATTTACAGTTCCGACTAGTCGCTAAATGTAGTAAAAAATCTGCGCAGGAATTTATTGTAATTATTTAAAGGACATAAGAGATATTAGAGATTTGGAGGATATCGAGTTGCATGATTTATAGAGAAATTTTTGTAAATCGACTGCATACAGCATAGGTCGCGCAATTGGGTTTGGGATAAGTTTGATTTAGACTCGTTCTAGATTTGATTCGGACTTGGTTATATCTTCCCGCAGGGAGGATCGCCGGGACACAGACCGCGGTTTCGCGGCTGAATCCCGCTTGCGTGAGTCCTTTGGGCATAGCGAACCCATGGACACGAGCTACACAGAGCCGCCATAAATTTCGTCGTATTCAATTATATCGGCTTGATTATGTTATGGATCATTAATGGTTTCAGAATGTCTATTTTGCCTATGCGTTCACATTTTGATTAATATAAAGACGATTAATAGTACCGGGTGAAATTTAGGAAACTCCATGGAGATTTTCAGCCTCGCAAAGATTTTTGTTATTATTATGTGGTGAATTTATGTGCTACTAACTTCTTAGAATTGTCCGCGATATAGTGATACACGTGATGAACCATATTTTGGGTTTGCCGTAATAGAAGTTCAATTAACTTCTGTTGCCAAATCGAGCATTCTTCGATGATGGCACCTTTTAGTCGATCGGCATTCACGTCAAGGAAGTGCACAGTCATCACTGTTTCTTGCATCTGAACGTTATTGGCGATGATCGTGTATCTACTGATATCCGAGTCGAACGTTTCCGCGGTAGGCTTCAATTTTTCGTATCTAACCATGGATTTTATAAATCCATATAGCTTTCACAGTGGTCAACGACATAGGTGAATATTTGCGAAATTTTGTAAATACCTCTGAAGATACATGTCTCTATTTATTTCCCAAATTTCATGGAACGGTTCCCAATTTTTCATGTAGTTTTGCATCTGAACGAAGCAGGCATTCACCTCTGAAAATTTGTATTAATAATTATTGTACTTAATATAGTAACTACAATAAAGGTCATTCCGAAGGAAAAGAACAAGTATGAACGAAGGGAAGAATACAACCGTCGTTGAGTTTTTGTTGAAGATCGAGCAATTCTGGATCTTTCTCATATATTTTCCAGAATGGTGGAATTTGAAAATCGAACTTGAATTTGTCTATCAGTCGAGTTATTCTTTTCAAGGGCTCTAAAAGATTGTCAAAGATCACTGCAACTTCCATGGCGATGTTTGCCAGGTCCGGCAGGAATTTTATCTAGACATAGAAGAATCACAATCTCTTCCTCCAATCCTGACTCTTCCCGTTTTAATTTCTATTTCAAAATAGGATAATAATAGTAAAAGAATATCGTACAACTACCTTGTTGTCGATTAGCTCTACGTGTATCAAAATGAGCGGCGATGGTGGCGTAGTACCATCACCATGAAGAGCAACGTACATGACCTCGAGAGATGCGACCAAGCACATTTTGAAAGCCTCGCCTATGAGCAGGTCCATCCTGCTTAAGTAAACCTTCCACTCTTGCAATGACTGTTAACAGATTTTTATGGAATACTAATAATTGTCCTAAACTAACAATAAAATTAATAACTGTCAATTGTTATAAAATTCAGAATTAATTATAATGACTTTATTTATTTGATATTTGACAGATTTATTTAAAGCGATTGAAGCAGGAAGACGCTAGTTATTTGATTAGAGCTATTTCTTAATGTAGTAATGTAACACAACTAAAATAACTAAATTGGTACAACTAATTAACTTCTGAGTGACAACTCACAACTCACAACTTATGACTAACTCTCAACAATCGACTTACCATTAACTAACTCTCTCTACCAAAATGTCCTTTTATACCAGTTTTAGTACCCCTACCACGCACACATGTATCATAGCTGTTAATGACCCAAGATGGTCACGTACACCTTTACAACAATAGATAATTGAAAAAGGCTACGGGTATATTGCTGGGCCACATGGACCATTGGGATTTCCCATCCTTCCCGGCGCGTCAGCACTTACGCTTTTTGCTGTACTGTAGTTCATTGGGTTTTTCTCAAATGGTTTTTCCGCGATATTATATAATTGTCCATCGAGAAAAACTGACTTACCCATGTTTCCTGGTGTATCTTCATATCACAATGGAAATAACGCGTGTAACAGCAATTCCGGATTAACGAGTACGTGTGTTCCTCACGGCAATCGCTTCACGCAGCGATATATCGTTACACGAATCGGTCTGGTCAGGGTTTTCGCGTCGGAGTGTCGTAAGAATTGCACCGTATAGCCTACAGGGATAACGCGAGAATGTTTCGTGCGGATCTTACTCTGTGAATGGCCGCATTTGTTGTCGATGCAAGGAAGAAACGAGCAGTTCTGGGTGAGAATGAAAATGTCGGGACAGAACGACGCCGTGTCTCGCTGTTATTTCATCGTGTTCAGCAACGTTTCTCTTCTATGTTCACCGTTTGAAGTATAAAGAGACATTTTAATAAAATATTTCGTATGATATATATTTTTTCCTAGTGGACAGACACTTGGCCGTGTAGACACACGAAAGGATGCTAAATATTCCGAATACTTGGACACTGAATGCCTGGAGAGATTTTATGTCGCCATAAAAGTTCGCATCTACGCGAACATTCTCCCTCTATGGCGATTTATGTTATCAAGATTGCTTTTTACGAGGACGGTCAGTTTGGCTTTCAACAACGAGTGATTCAAATTGAGTATTATAAGCTTTAGTCTTATAAACTGTAGGAATAAATATATAAAATAATCGGATAAAAAAGATATTTAACAATCTTTTGAACACTTACGTCTTCAAGAACATCCTTAAATCCATCCAAAATAACCAATATATACTGAAAGATGGTTCTGTGATAGCCCAGTAGAACTTCGAAAGTTTCGTCTCTTAAATAATTCATTATACGTATCCAATGATTCATCCTTTACCTTCAAAATTTACTATACTCATTTTAGATCTATTCAAATCGTACCTGGTTTTCAGTAACTCTTGTTGTAAATCCTCCAAAGCGTAAGTGTAATTCTGCCTGATTTTGATCATCGGCGTATCGCAAATCTTCTCACATAGTCTCATGATACCTTGATTCGATTCTTTGTAAACGTCAATGAACTCTTGAAGCTGCAAGAGAATACGTGCGATTGAAATCGACCTTTCCACTTCTCGTACATCGAAAAAGCTATACGACGACATGTACGAGAGGAATCTTTGACAACCTTGACACCTGCTGTGTGTCGGTATATTTAAAAATTTTGTGAAATGTTCGAACTTGATATAAGTGTCTATACATTTACTTATCAACATTCATTCAGTAAGATTCTTTTTACAAAGCTGTTCGAGTCACCAGACCAAGGCAAGGAAGCGAACAAGGTCGAACAAGACATTATACTGAAAACGGGTGAATTTCGCACCGTTTAGCAAAAGGCAATGAAGTGTCCGGCTTTGTCCTTCGACCAAATTCCGTCGATTTGAACAGGGTAACGAATGACCGCAAACGCGGCCTCGGATATCCGCTATTGTTATTCCGTTTCGCCAGCACGCGCTCTTCTTGCTTAATTAAACAAACAAAGGCTGCGGACAGATCCCACTTGGCTGGGTCAAAATTTAATTTCGCCAGGACAGAGCCGGACTCGTTGCATAAATTTCTGCAGCGCATAATATAGGCGTCGCCCTTTCCGACCGATTTAGGTTGGACGAAGAGGACGATAGCGACGGTAACCAGAAACGGAGGAGGGATAGAACGAAGCGTACATTTGCCGTTTGGTTAAAGCAATCCTCGATGTATGCGTCCACGTATTCAGTGTTCCATGTCAGCCTGTTTAAGCCGGGATTGATCTTCCTGTCTACGTGGCGAATTAGTTCGCGGAACAGATCGCGTTCTGTCATCGACAACGCTGAAAAACACAATATGCTATATGTACATTAATACGTATATGTACTCGTTTATGCGCGCATGTGTCCACTCGACACAGTTCACCGCAGCAGAAACGCGATTATCCGAATCTGTTCGTTCTAGCGTACATTCGATCGTTCGATTACCATTTGATGTGTCAATTCAAAATTCTCGTTGAAACGTAGTCCTATTCGAGGATTTTTTAAAGTAGCGCGCAGGATTTTTAGAGATACAAGGTTACGATGTAACGATGTACGATGAAATTATATGGTTACGGCGCTGTTGGTTCGAGCTACTTGGCTGACAACGAACAAACCGATTTCCACTTTTATGTTACTCTCCGCTCTTATGATATAGTCTTCGTAATATAGATAATACGGTATAGATGAATGAAGTTTCAATGAAACTCTTTATTGAACTTTTTATTCGTAGATTGCGTTCCGAACTCGTTAAATTTATCGACGATTCTTCAGAAGGAAATTAATTTATCGGGAAACAGATTTTCAGAGGAATTTCGAGGAGAGCGAGGTGCATCGTTTTAATTAACTAGGATAATCTAGCGTGTTCTTGTTCATAAACTTTGTACCCACCATCTTGATATTTTCTAATCATGGCCGGGATTCTCTAGTCGATAATAACACGTAGTGGCGTGTTAACAGCGAGCCGACAGACGCGCCAGGTATTTCTGAGGGAAATGTACTTGACCAACTATTTCGCAATCTCCAGAACTCGAAATACAAACGGAAAGTTCGTGCACACCACAACGTTTGAAACTTCGAAACATCTGCTAGAATTTGTTCCAACACGTGTCTACGAGTTGTTCAGATTTATACAAATGATGAAGAAGAAACATCAAAAAAGAAAAAAGTAGATGAATAACATTCCAGATAAGAATAAAGTAGATGCGTTCAAATACTTTCGTCAGCCAGTGTATTTTCATCGATTTAGAAATATTTATCAATTGGTGGAAGTGTCAACCCATCGTGATAAATAGCGGACACGCCACGGTCTTTGGAAAATGAAGGTCCAACCGGAATTTGCGCCACGCCACTAATTATTGCTTCGTAACTCGACGTATTCACAGGGTTTGATGCATCAGAAAATGTATATACGTTTAATAGAATTTGCCATGACGTGGAGAACGTCAGTTAGTGAGTTTGGAAGAAGCAATTTAGTGAGTTCTAATTAATCACGCGCCACGAGTTCCGTAATCGAAGTATTCGGCATCGATGAAAGGAAGAAGAAAATTAAGAAATTGCGGAACATAGAAACATAACGATATTTCATTTACAATATCGTTTAATATCACTTAAAGAGCTCGAGGTCCGTTTTATTCTACAATCTGCATTAATTCATATACATATGAAATTCCCATGACCGCTGTAATTTCTGATCGAGTTCGAAATATTAGAATAATCGAGGAGATAGTAGACGATCGAGGTTGGAAAAAATTTAGTAGAAAATTCCAAAATTACATGTAAAATTCCCAGTGTGGTATTAATGCATCTTTGGCGTATTGTTAGAAGCTTGTTAATAGTTTAATATTGCAACCAACTAACCTTTAATCACCTTATTGTAGCCAATAACTACAGCAAGAACGCTCTCGTAAACGAAGTTCAGAGTTTCCCATTTATCGTAAACGATTTGAACCTGAACAGGGATAGTGAATTTGAGAGTAATCCAATAGGCGGTTTCGCGGCATAAATTCAAAATGTCCGGGTTGATGTTGCAGCATAGTAATCCAGCAGACGAGTCGCTGCGTCGCATAAGGAAACGATCAAGCTTGACACGTGGATTCTCGCCAACCTCGTGTATCCATTTCATGTATATATCGATAACGAAATCCTCGATCGATTTCTTTAGCAGATCGTGCTGATAGTAGATATCCTCGCTAAGACCGCAAAAGGGCATCCACATGGCCTCCTCGAGCGCCTCTCTTGTTGATTGCAAACGAGCACCTTTCAGTCGTAGGTTCAATGCCCTGCCTGCATAATATGGAGTCATCGAAGGATACTCCTCCTTTTCGTCCAGTATCTCCTGCTTCGTTCGTTGGATATCTTCGCTGAAGAGTTTCCATATCTATGGAGGAAACGAAATCTTTCTTTTATCTGTCTTACCTTAAATTTTCGCTTCGATATAATTTTTATAAGACATCTTATTTAATTTTGAAAATTTGAGATTTTACTAGCTTCGTACCTCGATCGTTTTAGCATCGAACAGAGCTTTCAGTTTCTCGCGATTCATGTAAGTGTAGAAACTCTGAAAATCCTCCACTGCTTCCTGTACGCTGTTCAAGCGTGCGAAAATTGACGTGACTAGGTTTTCGATGATGACTTCTAGATCTTTCATTTCGTTGCGAAAGGTAAACATGTCATCGTGCCACATGCCGTAATGAACATCGAGGATTCTGTCGGACTCCTGCTCGATCTTCTGCAGTGCCTCGTGAAATAATCTTTCGATTTTTTGACACACCCTTTCGCGCTCTTCTCCCTTCGTTCCACCGAACAGCGGTCTCATTATTTCCGTTGTTTCGTCTATTCTGTGCTTAGTATGCCAATGGGTTAATCCCTGATCAAATCGTCGGTCGACGGGCGTGAAGAGGTGCAGACTGATTACCTGGCAAAATCGATCATCGCCTGACAGATCTCAATCATGTCGTGGCACCTGCTAATGAAAATATCAATATGCTGGAATATATTGTCCCTGTCTAAATCCCATGGTATGTCCGTTAGGCTATTGTGGGCTTGCGCTATCTGCAAGACAAACACACAGAGATGACTGTTATTCGAAAGAATTGTCTCGTGAAAATATTACGCACGATCGAGTCAGTCGTTTAATATCCGGCCTAGTGACGCATTCAAATCGATCCGCGATGGAGAATGTGACTCTAAGCCGTTAAATGAGCTTTTGTTTCACCCTCTATACGCTTATCCCATTTTATTCTGTATTATCGGCTGTTCTGCCAGTGAAAACAGTTCGCCACCATCTCCACGGGATGGTGTATACATACTTTTCAGTCTATCAGGGGTGAATGAACAGGAAATGTGTCATAATTCGTTTCTACTATCCCCTTTTAGCGCCATCAACTAGTTTATCTCGCGTTAATGCTTTATCGTATGAATTATTAATACTATTTTTATTCTACATATTACGTACATTACATACGCATAAATATTTCTTTCTATTTTTATCTCCCTGTGGATAAAAGTTGAAAGATTGTATTATTTATATCAGAAAGTTTGAGTATAAAGAATTAATTCTTCGTCAATTCGTCATTTTACTATCAAGCTGTTAGTCCTTTGAATTCTGACAATAAGTATATTCCATTCATGGTATGTTCTTATCTCTATACTATTATCTCTATTATGTCTATTTATATTATTCTTTTATTCGTTTCTATCACATATAAATAAATATTCTATATATTCTATATATTACCTCTATATCATGGTATATATTTCATTTTGTTCATTTTAGTGAAAGTGATACTTTAAAAGTAGATATCTTCTAGATATGAAGTATTGAAGAAGCTTTTATGATTCCTCGAAATACCATGCGGGCTATAGACTTTTCTATATAAAATCGTATCGCATTGTTACAGGGTGCACGAGAATTTTCTCTTGTCAAACATCATTCTAGGAACGCCATTGACACACCAGACGATTCAATTTCAAAGCGTTCGAGTGCATGACGTTGTTACGTCATTTCGTATCTTGTCAACAATCAGGCTGGCTTTCTTCCATTTTTATATTTTTCCCGTTTATATTTGGACGATCAATCGCGGGATCGCGATTCATTTTCGAAAGGGACGCACTTGATCGTTTTTCGAGAGCTTCATAAACAATCGGAATATCGAAATTGCAATATTATTTCGTTGCTCCATTGCTATCGTACTATTTTTTTCGCTGTGGCGCCTGTTTTTTAATAATTTGAGTCGAGATTGTTTTCGCACTATATTGCGCATTCTGTATATTTGCACGCTTTTAAATTTCTCATAAATGCGTTATCATCAGAAATCTGCTAATTAGATGTACAAAATCTTTTCTAATTTGCATAGCTTTTAACATTACAATGCTTTAACATTTACAAAGAATAAAAAGTATCGTTTGCCAGCCTCAATTCGTCGTCAGAACTCTTTGTGATCCCCTAAGAAACGTTGTTTCACTCTCTATCAATGACTCATAGTATGATCATTGAGATTTTTCACGGAAAAATCGAGAATTTCAGACTTTTTGACTACGATTTCTGCGCCCTCAGTTCGCGAGAATAATCACGATGCGATACGTAGCCCATGGCAATTCTAATCCCTGTCGACGCTTATCTAGCCACACGGGAAACGCCTAAGTCGAGGTTACTGTGACTTCCGTTTAACGCGAAAACTTGACCCGGTTCCAGAGGCAACCCTCCCTTCGGCGACAACACGTCCCCTCGTTGCGCAGGATAAAATGTTAATTTTGAGATTGACGAATTATCTTTAAACGTTTCCCTTTTTGCAGCCTTTTCTGTTACGAGTTTGTTTGATGACAGTTTAAGATGTGATTTGCTTTCTTTCTTAATTTTATAAATTTGTCTTAGTCATCAAGTACACCAAGTAGTATCAAAATCGAAATATTGACGAAAATAGATTAGATAAATATTCATGATTAGACTGCGATGTTATGCTAATTCATATTTTTATGAATGTAGATAAACTAACAGGACTCAAATAGAAATTTCGAAACATTATAACCAATGCCCCGGTACTTTGAATAATTTTTATGTTTTTGAATATTGTGTCCAGTTTGTAAATTTTTAAATACAAATGTATAAACATGTACAGTTTACTTATCGTATTTTTTTAACTGAGTTTTTCGTTTAATTTGTGACGATATTAAAATTATCAGTCGCGCAGTGGGCTTAGCAATACTTTTACGTTCATTTGCACGTAGCACGGGTGCTCGCGTGTTGTTTTACCACGATCCGTCGCGATTAAAGGAAGATAAGATTAATTGCAGGCTCGAGCCGCTCGCCTCGGCGAATATTATTTTAACAGGGATGGGAGCGTGTTCCCGCGTTCACGGGGATCATTGTGAACCGGCCAAAGGGTGGGTACAATTACCGTGACTTCCGCTTAACGCGGGAACTCCTCACTTTGCCTAACGGCTCTTTCCTAAGTATCCAAAGTAACTCCGCACACGTCGTTTAATAGTCCCTTAATGCACCGACCGTCGACTGAATTTGTACGCGATAACACAGTGAACATTCAAACAGTCTTTCGAAAGCATTATATGTATTCAAAAAGTAAAAGCAAATATCGAACGATTAACGAAATATCAGGCATTTAGAGCAAAAATGGATTCTACTACATTTTTATGAAGTACATAAGTTTATATATTATTGTTAAGATACTTTTTCAAACACTTGTTTATTTTTAACAAGATCTATTTTAATTATAATATTACGAATAAAATCAAATTGTAATTATATTTAGATCATGATTCTATCAAGATCACATATCCCAAATCCCGTATCCTATTCCATCTTCTATGTCTTATATCTCATATCCCACATCTTATGTTATGTATCACGCAACCATTTTCTATACCTAACATCTCTAAAGTTACATATTAGGTTCCACGATTTCTACCTCACTTTCCATACTATTGACATACTCTGTATTTTACATTCAACATCTAATACTTACAATCCCAAAGCTATTCCACAATCCATATTTCCATCCCACATTCCATATTTCATATAGCTTATTTCATACCCTATATTCCACAACTATTAGTGTTCCTAACATATATCCGTATCTTTCACCTTACTTCTCATACTTCATTTCATATTTTTTTTTTGGTACTCTATATCCCACATCCCGTATCGCTAGGAAATATCTTTTATCCTTGCTTTTGTAGCATGTACATCTATTCTTCCTACATTTAACGTTTCATATGTCCTATTTCCTCTTCTGTGTCCCATATCCAGTATCCCTGAAACATATCTTCCATTCTTATTCCCACAGCACATATCTCCATCCGACGTCTCATATTTTATATTTCCATATCCTTTATCCTATCATACGTTTTCCACATGCCCTTTTTCTACCTTCTATGCCCATACCCGGTGTATTCTTCTCTGTATTCCAAATCCTGCACTCTACTTTTCCCTATATTCCAAATCAAACTAACAAATTTCCTAAATCTATGTTAACGATCACGAATTTCAAGTATGGAAAGTGTAGGCCCTTGACGCGGTTTGTGGGAAATTCGTTGGGAAAAACTCCATTTTGTGGGAAAAGAATTTCATCGTGTGGGTTAGTGAATTTCGTTCGTGGAAAAGGAATTTCATTTTGTGGGACAATGAACTTCATTTTGTGGGAAGTGTCCATCATTTGTGGGTTTTGTGTGAAATTTATAAGAAATGAACTTCATTTTATGTGATAGCGAATTTCTTTTGGGGAAGGTGACGGTTTCTTACGCGCTGCTTGTGCGATACATTTTATCTTTTGTAGGAAACATACTCTTCGTCGAAATTAGAAGGGTAAAATCATTGAACTAGGATAGGGAAAATGAAATAAGGAGTAAATACAATGACCGGTAGGGAATGTAAAGAATGGAGTAGTGATGTAGGGTAGGGAACATTAGATGTATGTATTAGATTGTGCATATTTGATATGATGCACAGAATTTGAGAAATGGAGTAAGGAATGGGAAACGTGAAATATAGAAATTTACACATTATCATGAGTTCACGAGATATGGGGCTGAGAATATAAGATGTCGGAAATGAAATAAGGAATATGAAAGTATAATAGGGAATATTTCATAAATATAAATGTAGTAAGTGTTACTTATAATGAATTATACAACTTATGGAATATCAGAGTTAGTTCACTTTTGCTCTCAATGCCTCAATACGGAGAAAAATGAATATTAACCTTGTCATACAGTGCTTTATAATTTTCACAGGCGTCTATACACTCTCTGAACTTTTGCATGGAACTTCTAGGCTTCTCAGAAAATACTTCATTAAAGTCGATGTAATCTCGACACAGGATAATAATTTGATTACTAAGAGCCTTGAAGAGATTCTCTATTCTCTCATGACTGTTATAGAACGGTGAATTCAACCAGATTATTCTGAACAGATGTATGATTAACATCAGATGTTCCTCGATGCTTGATGGTGTAGTGCATTTCTCTAATTCTGCAGAAGGATCTATCAAGATTCGAAGATACTCGATGTTAGATTTGGCTTCCTGTACGCCGTCTTCGATCTCATCTATTAATGATAAGAACTGGCGAGCATAAGTCGAATGACTTATTAATAGGAATTCTGCTATTATTTTCACCGTTTGGTTCTGAAGCTGGTGGTTTAGACCGCAGAGATTGTCATCTGTTAGAGAAAGAATTTTTTGTGGTACAAATATGTTTAGAAGAAGGAACGGAAGCTTAGATTCTGGGAGCTGGAGTTATACACATTTTATTAGAATTTACATTGAAATATTCAAATTCGAACGTTCAGATTATAAAATATTAAATTAATATTTTATAATCAGTGTACAGAAATTTATTAAAGTGAACTGCCCAGAAATCCCAGATCTAATATGCTTTACAAGCAAATACATACTCCTGAAATATTTACGAAATGAAATTACTAACATCGATAAATCCAAAAGTCGTACTCGTCTTTTAGACACAACAATTCGTTGGGTGTCGCTTGCTCCTGGTCTGAGAGGGCTATCCTTATTTGGGTGGTCCAGTAGGCTACCACACTCTCCATCCTCTTGACCAACTCCTTATCGGTGCAGTCCTCTTCGGTCAGGTTGCTACCCTCACGAGGTACATATATCACCGTTAAGCCCAGCATTTTGTACGTAAGGTCTGTTAAGTTGCAGAAGAAGGTGTCCATGTTCGTGTAAAAGTCCGCCTTCACGCATGTATCTCAGGTTAAGGAAAACGAATAAGCTTCTCCATCGATATTTTCCCTTATTTTTATTTTCCCTGTTCCTCCAATACTTTCGTTATAACTTATCGCAATATAATTTAAAGAAAAGGACTCAGCTATTCTATTCCATTTCGTTCAAACAATTTCCCACTGAAATTTATTTCTTATGATTCCGAAAACAGAGATTAAGAATTATGATTCGAGAAACTATAAGAGATCCAGAACAGATTAATTCACAGAGATGGAAACCAGTAAAAGTGTCAGGTCCTGTTCATCTCTAGGATCCTCGTTTAAAACCATGTCCTCGCAATTAGAGGAGAACGACTCCTTCGATTCAGTTAGGATCGCGGATCCATTAGAAATAATGAGACGACTTCCAGCCAAACACAATGCAATCGTTTCTGACTCGAGGTGGACCTAATAATCCGTCGTTCATGGCCTTCCGTACATGTGCAAACATCGACGCCGAATTTACTAGCGGCGAGTTGCGCAGTGCATTTAGTCGAAAATTATGGTAATAATAACTTCGTTCCACCCTTCCTGTTTCACCCTCTCCTTTTAGTCCTTCTTCTCTTCTCTCACTCTGTTGGTCGACACTGGGCCGAAAGTTCGCGTGGCGCGCTGCGGTAACAGGGATTGCGCGGCCGAAGTTACAAATTCGCTTGGTAACGTCGTCAAGTCGGGGTTGTTGCGAGCTTAAGCCGAGGAGACTGTGCAAATGTTGGCCGATCGTCCTTTGTTCCAAACCCTCTTTCGTTACTGAAAGCTATTTGTTAGTTTCGATGTAGACAAACTATTAGTGGATCGTCGTTCAGTGTCTATTAATAGTAGAGCCGTAAATAAGTAAAGTCTAAATTGGAATCGAAGACACGAATAAAGTATCAGAGAAAGTTATGGAACTAGGTCGTTGTAAATTTATGAAATTTCCATGAAATCTGATCATTTGAAGTACCGCGTTAGCTATATCATTAACTTAGAAACTTCCTACTTTCAAGGGCTCAGGAACGTGGAAAATTTTAGACATCAGAATTAAAAGTATCGCTATTGAAATTGTTACCCTAAAGTGGCAAGATTATGAAAACTCCGTACCTAAACTATACAAAAGCTTCCGACAAGTTTCTCTCAAGTAGGAAGCTGAATTTTGTAGATTCGAATTTTGGAAAACGCCATTGACGCGGGACATTCGCCCACGAAGATTCTAGAGCGCCCACTGCTACCCAATTAAACTTATAGCTGGCGGTTTTACACCCACAGATTGTTTACCAGAGAGGGAGAGAAAAAGAGGGAAGAGGAGCAAAAAGAGAAGAAAGTCCTGGAGGAGGAGACAAGAAAGTTTCGTAGTTCAGCTCGTTGAAGTATCGTTACGATACCGTGCTCCCCGGAAAACTTTCCCCGACTAATTAAACACGAGTTAAGCCACTGAACAAAGCGGGCGAGAATCCTCTCTGGATGGATACTGTCTGGCCAGGTTTCGATCTTGAGGAAGATCGGCGACAACACGTTTTGAACAACCGACAGCACGTGCTGCTCTACTTTATCGTTCACCGAGCCGAACAACACGCGATCCCGAAATGTGTCCGCTCGCAGGATCTCTTGTGGTTCCCTGATGAAGTAGGTGAGCTCGTATACCGGTACAATAGGGAACGACAGAGAAGCAGCGAGCCTGTTGTATAAATAATAGATGGTCAGGGTGGTCAAGTTCGGATTTAGAAAGAACTCTCGAATTGTCAATTCCAAGTAGTAGGACCAGTCCTCCTTCCTTAGTCCGCCCAAGGTTGTCATGTCTTTCACACAGTTGACCTGTAAGAAGAGGAAGATTTTGTTCGTTTATTGGCTGAATCTTTTAATTATGATTAATGTTAATATCAAAGGGTTGATTTTCTTTTTACTTATGATATGAGTTTTAATAATTAATATTATCATTTTCTTTTTTGCGAAGGTTGTAGTTGTTGGTATTTAGGATAAGGCTAAATCTATTCATAATCTATCTAGTATTGTGCATCAAGAAATTTTTCCACGATCGTTATCCGTCTTTATGTTCTAAGATCCGAGTTAAACTACTAACCAGGTTCGACAGTTCCTGTTCATCGTAGATCGGTCTAAGTTCCTCTTGAACTTCATCGACTTCATGTCCTGCAACAGAATATATCAACGTGTCAGTCAATATCCACTCCACCAAATACATAATTTTTTTCCTAACTTGTTTGTTTTCAGAAGCGCAAGATCATCGAATTTGAAAATTAATCGACAACTGCGTTATCTATGATACTATATAAAATATCAAATTTACCATACTGCATGTATCTAACAATTTTCCCGAGTCTTTCTTCTCAAAGAGTTAAAGAACGACTCTGCACCGGGACCAAATTTTCTCCGATCGTAAAGATCGTTCGTTAGACGGCGATCGAAAGTAGCGATCGCGATGGGTCTCCTTAAATCCGACGGGAGTTAAATCGGACACATTCGTTTCTAAGAATCTCTCCTGTCCGTTCCGATATCGTTTTTCGTTAGTTCTCTTCTTCTCCGCCCCGCTTTCTCGAAAGCGCATACAACCAGAAGAGCACCAAGCCCACCACACCCTCTGTGCCACCCTCAGGATACGACTTCGCTGCTGGCAATCTAACAGGAACGATAAATCGCGGCCAGCTAGTGAATCGGCGGAAGAGGAAACACGTTGGGTGATCGAGGCGCCGCGGGAGGACACGTTGCCATAATTTATTAGACTATGATAGCGAGTATTATGTAGATAGTACCGATGCTCTCTCCCTTCCTCTCTTCTCACTCTCTCTCTCTCATTTTCCTTTTGTTATGCTATAGGAAACATTCTCTCAACCCGAGGGACTTATTACTGTCACGCAGCTTTCTATGCCAATGATTTTTCACAAATTTTACATTCTAACCCTGTCACGTTCCTCATGGTATGCTTTTTCCCTTTTACTCTTCGTTCTTCGTCGTTCCTCTTTTCTTCCCTCGTTGGATCTATGCGAGTGACGCGAGGATTTCACGAATTTGTTCAGCAGTCGCGAAAGATGTATTCGTGAAAGGAGCACGTCACTTGCTGACGAGGCTCTGGGTTGTGAAGGTTGGTGGTTGTTGACTCTTCAAACGCCATCCAAAGACTTGTTGTTGGCTATTTTGCACAAGGGATGATAGGGCGAAAATATCTGCAGGAATTTGAACAGGAGCCTATCGCGCGGAAACGTTGTGCTTCGACCGTGGCTATTAGGCATCGGATTTTTGGTTCATCTTTGGATTTTGAATTATATATCTTTGAATCACGAATTCATAACAACAATTTGGATCATAAAGTTTTGGGTTATAGAACTTCGAGTTCTAAATCTTTAGATTATAGAACTTTGGATTACGCATCTATGAATTCTAGACCTGTGAAGTAAAAGATACTTCAGAAAGACATTAAAACGAACAAACATTTCTGAAATTTATTTTATCTTGTTTGCGCGACGACTCTGTTGCATCTGATGTATTGTTTACAAGGCTTCTACATCAAATATTTGTAAAATATTTGCACAGGTTGTTTTACGACGAAAGTGGTAGGAAATGGCGAGAACGGATAGTGTTTAGGATGTAACGACGGAGAAAGCTGGAATATGGGTTTTTTTTCAGGTTTGGAAGTGAAAATTTGTTGCCTTCGGCTGCTCGACAGTTCGTGTGTCATAAAACACAAGCGAGTGTTTCAACTTGCTGACTTTTACGATGCTCTACGTCTTAACAGGATTGTTTCGCCAAACCTGTTTACTGTTTCATTTCTTCTAATTTATTGTGATTGTCTTCCCTTAGATTTAAGTATCTTTTTGCTACTTTTTTACTTGGGGGTGAGTTCCATAATTATAATTAAGATACTTCCCCGTTTTTCTTGCTACTGCAAATGGATTATCCTTTTTTTGCCAGAGCCAAGTACTCATTTTATATTAACACCATGTTCTAGACGAATTTTATCTTCTGGAAACTTCTAAAAAATTCAAGACATTTTGCATATTTCATTCTCAGCCGAAGGCAAATCTAACCAAAAAGATTCTAATACCATTCGTATGTAATAGCAGTTCGAAATTTTTCCTCTTTCTAAAAATTTTTTCTACAGCTTGGTCCAACTGCGACAATTCGAATTTTAATCGCTATCATTTTGAACATTTTTTTCCCTAAAAAGCATCGCGAGTGAATTCCCGGATCTCGCACGGAACATCGATAATCCGCGCAGCGTTACGCGGAATGCGCGATACGCGCGAAGCATCGGCCGATAATGGACAATGTATTGCCAGCAGGAAGAACAGCAAGGCACACGTTCCAGCCGCGTTTTTCACCGGAAAAAGAGAGTGACATTCTCGCGACACGCATGGAAATGATCGGCCTGCCGTCAGTACGGCGGAGGATCATCGCCGAATCGGCGAATTACCATTGAATTTTTCATACCAGCGTTGCGATTGCAAGGGAAAGGAACGTTATCGCGATGCTATGAAAAATACGTGAATTCTATTGCATTTTTTTTTCAAATGAGAGGTTGGTATTTTCGGAGGTTTATTTGGCCAGTCATTTCATTAGAAACGCGATTATAGGAATTCTACAGCAATGTTGGTGAAAAATTGTTGTGATTGCAAAAATATTTGATTTTTATCAATTTATCTGAAATAGGAGTTGGCTTTCGAGCGTTTATCTGGATAAACACTGGATTAACTGTGAAATTATGAGGATTTCTCAGTGACGATTACAGGAAGTCAATCTTTATTCAAAAAATTAATTTTCGCCATATATTTATTATTTTTTTTTTTTTTTTAAAGAGCGGCTAATTTTCGCATAGTTATTCACTCGGCAATTAATTTAGCTGCAAAATTATTTATCAGCGATGATTAAAAAATGTCCTCTTCATTAAAATTCACGACTACTGATCGTAAAAACGCGACGAAAATGTTAATTATTTTTTGCGAAAGGAGGGCGTGGTTTTTCGAGGATTTATTCGGAGGTGAACCACTCGATTAGCAGCACGATTACGCGAATTTCCCAGTGGTGATCGTGAAAAGTCAGTCGTTCTGTTTATTAAAATTCATTAACATTGTATCGATCGGTGGATGAGTGGGGTTGGTCGGGGGTTGGGCTCGCAGGGACACGGCAATAACGATTCGCAATAAAATTCTCGTCCAGCGGATTAACCGTTACAATTTCGTTACGCGTTCAACGCGAAAGTAATTCCTTTTTTTTACCATGGTGCTACCGGGGTGAGACACGATCGAACCCCGGTGAATATCGTGGCAAACATTTTTGCTTGACCATGCTGGTGTATTAACACGCGTGCGAGCGCCACAGACATAGCGACCATTGTCGACGTAATTACGGGCACTTTGCGCGGTGTGCGAAATTATTTCGCCATCCTTTGCTAGCCATTGAGTCTGTGTAACAAGCTACGATTTCAAATTTTCTTTCCTGGAATAAAATCCAATTTTTTTCGCGATAGGAAGGATCAAAGTTGAGGAACATACGACAGGCACAATGCGTTTATTCTTTTGCAATTGATATTTGTGATTTTGTAGATTCGTTTCTGGTTTATTTCTAGATTGATTATAGATTAGCCATAGATGATTCTCCTTAAAATGATGTTACTGGGTCCGAGGTAATAAGCATCGATTTCAGTCTTTCGCCCCTCGAATACAATCGGATCTTTTCGTGATAAAATGAAAATAGACATTTAAGAACGAAAACGTAAGATAAGAATGTGTCAGTTCCTTGTAAATGAGAGTTTTATAACTTTGCAGCTTTATTTCTCGTCTATTTAATTGACAAAGATGCTGACTTGGAATATACGACAAGAAATACACTATACCTAGATGATCGTAATTAATGTGGTGTAATAGAAATAAATAGATATACGTATTTAATAATTACCTACTGTGTAATTACGTTTCAATTGAAAAAACAGGTAAACTTCTACATTGAATACGACTAATAACGCTACTGGTATCTCCTATTATACATTTGCTTCTATTATAATACATTTTAGAATTATCATAAGACAGGACTAAATAAATAAAAAATAAAAAAGTTAACAACCATAGATTAACGAAATTTTTCAAACGCACTAAAAAAGATTCTAGCACCTACGTAATTCACGATTTCATCCCCTCAATTACGAAGAGCGACTGCGAAGGGGTTAATATGAAATTAAATCCCATTGGCGATTTTGCGACGAGTCCTCGGCGCCGAATTGCCGTCCTCGATCATCCACAGCCAGTCCGTGACATTAATTGTTCGCAGGGTAGTTTCAACCTTCTCCCTTCCTCCGTTATTCACCACCCTATGCTTGCTAAATCTCCTTGCAGACACCCGCTGGATATTTCGAATAAAGCCCCGTGCTCACAATTCGAATGCTCGTTATTCGACAGACAGGTATTGGTTTATCCAGTTTACCTACTTTCTAAACTAGCGACGAATTAGCCACGTTTCTCCTTCGAATCGGTTCGAGAAACGGGTCTCGAATTACCATAAACCCGGAGACAAATTAGGAACTCGGATACGCCGATTAATCGTCCACCAGAGCGGCCACCTTCAGCGTCATAATTCAACCCCTGGCGCACTCGTATCGATGCTACCTCATTGTCAGACTCGTTCGAATGATTTTCTCTCCAGTTTCTGTTAGTTGGAGCTACAAGGCCGAGAAAAAATCTTAGACCTTCCATTAAACGCTTCTGTCTCAATAAAATCTTACTAAATCCGTGAACGAAGGGAACCATAAACGAAGAACACCATATCTAAAATTTTATCTTTACATAATTACACGTTTTCTAAAAATATATATTATTTTCATTGTAATATAAAACCAATAACGTCGATCGTTTAAGATTTTTGCACATACGATCGATATAACATTTTGTTGTACATGATCGATAGGAGTGACTCTAACTTTCTTTCGTGTCATACTGTATAAGAAAGTTTAACGGAATTAAACGATTTTAACGGGCGGGGGGGGGCAGGGTTAAAGGGGCGAATTATAAAATATTGGAAAATATTTGAAATAGCTTGAAAGTTTGTTAATTATAATGATTCTTTTGTGACTGAAAATATAGTACATAAAGTAGTTACAACGATCAAAGCAGAAGGTGTTGCAACATAGGATGAAGGAATGATCGAAGAAGAGTAATATTTAAGAAAAACAAAACTTTCCAATTTACTTGTTTTGAGTATCGGGCATTTAATAACGGTAAATTGAACATCGAGGAGCGAGCTATACATAATATTAGACCTGGTGGAGTTCCTTTCCGCCAATTACCACTCTTCATTTTCGCGGCTCGATATTGCTGTACTTTCATCGTAGTTTCACTTACATCGTAATAAAAATTCCAACGCAGCGAAAAAGAATTTACGAAGAATCTTTGCTAAACTGTTCTCTCTAATTTTATCCTCTTACTTTATAATGTCGCGCAACATTCGTGTTACGATTAACTTATTTAAAATTGGAATTTCAGTTTTAAAAAGACTAAAACGAACGATGTATCTGATAAATGCAACAGATGTAGTTAAATATTTCAGTTGAGATTTAACATTTATAGCGTGCTCTTTACTGGTACACGAGATCTAACTTTTTCTGATTGAAAAACATTTTCTGTACTGACCGATCTTGAATCTTCTCATTAATTTTCTTTTTTTATTACTGAATACGTCACAATTAATTCTCGTTGAGAATTACAAGTATGCCGACTGGAGTGTTACAACGGCATATCCATCTAGGGGCAGTTGTACGTAAATTCAGCATTCCATTATTTCACGGAAATTCATGTACATGAAATAATCATCTTTCAATCTTGAAAATACTACAAATTTTTCATACAATCTGATACAAATTCTACGCGATATTTAAATATCTTCCATCAAAATTCCATCGAATTTCGTCAAAAGAATATATTAATACCAATTTTCAAATACCGAACTAATATATCGTAAATCAGACGCGACAAAATTGAAAAGAAGGTTAGCGAATACCAACATCTCGAGATAATTCATCGCGGAATAACAGGTTTGAAGAACCAAAGAGATAAAGGAGACTCCGGAAAGAATAAGAAAATCGGGGAGGAAAATCGGAAGAAAAATACAGGGAAACTAGAGGAATTGGCAAAGGGAGGAGAGTTGCATAGCGGAAGGTAGAAATGTAGAAAATAGAAGAAACTGGATGGCAGAGGAGAGTCGCTAGAAGAAGCCTTTAATATTTTTCTCGTAAATCTTACGTTGTCTCTCCTCTTCGTCGGTGGACTCAGCGTCCAAGTACTCTCTGTGTGGATCCGAGGGCGGCTTATCTTTAACTTTATCTTTCCGACTTTGCATTTTATTGACGGCTC